GACAAATTTTATTAAAACTTTTGAAAATAATTAAATCATTACTAGAAGTTTCATTAAAATTTTTAAAAATGTATTGAAATCACATACAAAACAATTAAATTTCCTCAAAGAATTTAATTAGTTTTATTTATAAATGAATTCTTTCAAAGAATTTTATTAAAATTTTAGAAAATTCGAATTTTTGCAAAAAATTTCATAAAAGTATATTAAAATTAATTGAATTCCAGTGAAGAATTTTATCATTTATAAAAAAAATTTGATAACTTTCGAAGAATGTTATTAAAATTTTGGAAAATAATTGAATTCATCAGGATTTTGACAATAATTGAATCGTTTTGAAGAATTGTATTCAATTTTATTTAAATAATTGCATTTTTTGAAAAAAAATTAGTAAAATTTTACTAAAAATAATAAGATTCCTGCGAAAAATTTTATTATTTACAAAAATAATGGAATTTTTAAACAGAATTTTTTTTAATTTTTGAAAATAATTGAATTGTTTCGAGATCTTTATTAAAATTTTTGAAAATAATTAATTTCTTTCCAGAAATTTAATTCAATTTGTTTTCAAAATAGTTAAATATTTAAAAAGAATTTCATCACAAGTTTTTTGAAAATAATTGAATTATTTCGAGAATTTTTATTAAAATTGAATTGTATACTGAAAATAATTGAATTCTTTTCAGGAGTTTTATTAAATTTTTTGAAAATAATAATAATAAATTTGTTAATTAGTTATTTAGTGAATTTTTAAAATTTTTGAATCTAAATTTATTTAAAAATTGAAGTAGATATTTAAAAATTAGAAATGTAATTTGTAAGTGTATAATAAATAAATTTGTTTAATTTAAATGATTTGAATTAAATTTATTCAATTTCAAGTCCAATAAGCCAAAAGCATGAACTATATATATATAAAAATAAATAAATTTATTTAAATTAATAATTTATTTAAATGGAAATAAAATTGAAAAGTATAAAGATAAAAAATAGTTTTTTTGAAATTCACAGAGGCCGAAAAGGTAAGACAAGGTCCCAATTGCGCAAGTTTTTGAAGTAAAATCGTGGTGGAGTAAATGGAATGGGATTTAAGTGAAGAGATGAAGAGAAGGGAAGCGGTTATTGTGAGCGGTGACGCGCATCATTTGATCGGTGAGTATAGTGTAAAGCTAAGGTTGTGTATATACGCCATTTCCCAGTTCCCCTGAGTTGGAGACCTTCCGTTGCCAAAGTTGCGCAACGCTCTGGGGGTTGATTCTACCCCCGCAGGCCGGCCAACCTAATGGAAACAAGAAATTGCCACAAACAGAGTTACCTACGCCTCGACGCCTCGTAAATATCGCCATCGCCGTCAGAACCCGCCAATTGAAAAGGCGAAGAATCCTTTCGCTTCAATGCAAAAACCAACACACCAACAAAATTCTAAAATAGAATATCACACAGTAAACCCCTTTTCCTCTCCTATCCTATATGTACGTATATAAAACCACTTCAAACCCTCCACCACAAATGCACTTTTAGAAAACAATTCTTTTCTTATCATTCTTTTTCTTAGAAATATTCAATATCGATAAACTTCATTATTTGTAATTATACATTTTTCAATTTTCATATTTTTATTATATTATTTTGCTCATTTACTTCGTAATGCAATAATATAACATAATAATAATATAAATAATACATATAGTATAATTATTTTAATAATTATTTTAATAATTAAAATTTAACGATCATTACGAGTCAATAATACCATTTATTCAATTTTAGTCAATACCATTTATTTTAATAATTATTTTTCTGAAACAAAGCTCGAACCAGTGAAAGTTATTAAAAATACGGACTTTACGGACCACAATAAGAGAATATTTTACTTAAAACTAGAAATTAAATTTTTTATAATAATTAAAGATGGCCCAGTGATAAAATCATTATTTTATATTATAAGACTATTCTTATTGCAATTTCTTCAAAACTATTTTCATCATTTCAATTCAATTATTATTATCAAAAATTTTTAACTAAAATTCTACTTTAGATAAATTATTTTTAATACATAATTTTTGAAAAAGTTCTTTGGCAATTTTCAAATCCATTTATTAACAATATTCAATTTCACGAAATTTCAATTATTCCTAAAGTCTTCAATTAAATGCATATTAGAAAACAAAAACTTCAAATAATATAAAAAAAATCAATTAAACTTTTTCAAAAAAATTAATTGTAAAATTCAATTATTTCTAATAATTCACGCTATATTGATATTAATATTCAATTATAATCTAAAATTTTAACTGAAATACATTTTTAAATCAATTTTTATTAGAAAATTCTAGGAGAATTCTATTATTTCAATACAAAAGTAAATAATTTATTGATTGAATAATTGAATGTTTCTTAAATTTGAATTCTCATAAAAAATGTTATCAACAATATTTTAAATAATTGAATTCCTTTGTCGAATTTTATTAAAACTTGCATGAAAATAATTACTTTTTTCAAGGAATCCAATTAAAATTGTATGAAGAATAATTGAAATTCTGTGATGAGTTTTATTATTAGTAAAAATAATTGAATCCTTTAGAAGAATTTTATTACTCTTGAAAATAATTGAATTTCTGTAATAATTTGAAACTTCTCGAAAATTAAATTTTTTCTACTGTTTTTAACTAAAATTCTTCTATAAATCCATTATTTTTAATAATTTTTGAAAAAGTTCTTTGAGAATTCAATAATTTAACAGCATGTGATTGTTAGAACTTCAATGGTAATTTTTTCGACCAATTTTCTCTTAAAATATTTAATAAATTGAGTTTAAATTCTTTACGAAAGTCTGAAGTACAATAAAGAAGGGCAGTGATGTGCAAAAGTTTAAATATTTTTAAAATTAATTATTACAAATTAATTTAAAATTAATTAATAATTAATTAATTTTATTAATAATTATTATCAACTTCTTCAAAATTATTTTCAACTTTTTAATTAAATTATTAATTTCTAGAATTTTTAACTAAAATTTTTCTTTAAACAATTATTTTTAATAATTTTTGAAAAAGTTATTATTTCTAAAAGTTCATTCGAATTTTATAAAATTTTTAAAAAATAATTGAATTCTTGCAACGAATTTTATAAAAATTTTCAAAAATAATTGAATTTTTACGAAGAACTTTATTAATTTTTTTTAAATAATTGAATTCTAACGAAGAATTTTATAAAAATCATTTTAAATAATTGATTTTTTTCGAAAAATTTTATGAAAATTATTAACTTTTGGTTCATATATTCAAATAATTTTGCTGACACTCAGAGAAAAATTTATTTGCGGATTAACAAATTTTAGTTGAAATAATTAAATAAATGCAACTACTATTCAGTTATTAATGAAAGATTTGTTTGATTCAAGCAAAAATTTTTTGCAGATGAAACTTCTTTATTCGAACACAAAATTTATTAAACTGAACGTAATCTATATTTAAATAATAAAAATCTTCTAAGTTTTGTTAGCTTAAAAAAAATTTTTATTCACAAACATTTTAATTTTTGTATAAATTTTTAAAAATTTTCTAAATGAATTTCTTTGAATGAAATTCTCTGACATTCCCTGACTTTTCCATGACTTCCCTGACTTCCCTGAACGTTAGACACTCTGCTATTAAATAAAATTTATTTATACCAAGTAAAATTTGTTTCGACCAAATGAAATTAATTTCTATCAAATAAAATTTGTTTGTACAAAGTAAAATTTATTTCTACCAAATAAAGTTGATTTCTGACAATAAAATTTATTCGTACCAAATAAAATCTATTATTTTTGTACGAAATAAAACTTATTAATAAAATTTAGTTGCGACAAATAATGTTTTTTCTATCAAATAAATATTACTTGAAACAAAGAACATTTATTTGTACTGAATAAAATTTATTTTTTACCAAATAAAATTTATTTGCAATAAATAAAATTTACTTGTGGGCCATCCATAAATTACGATATCAATTTTTTATTCTTTTAGACCCCCTTCCCCCTAAATAGGTAACATAGTTCATGGATGGCCCCTTGCAACAAATAAACCTCGATTTAAATGTGTTACAAATATCCCTTTTCTCCAGGCATATAAATTCAATTTTTCAATGAAAAAAAACGATTTTTTAGAAAAATCCAAAAAAAAATAGAAAAATATTTCTAAAAATCCACCCGATACCAACAGTTAAATAATTAAATTCGGAAATTTGAAATAATTCAGAAAATACAATGAAAAGTAGAGGGAAACTATCGGGCACTGTATACTTATATATAATACGAAAAGTATCAAAATAAATGACAGCCGCGGTTTAAAATAAATATCTTTCTCTCTGTTGTAGAGAGCGACTTGGTAGGCATCCTGTGTAGTTGCACGAAAAGCAAAGCGGATGTCGTCGGGGCAAAGTTAAATTAAATCACAGCGTAGGCAGCTAATATTGTAGTTTATCTGGCGGGACATTAGCGCGGTGAAATATGCCCTCCTTCGTAGAACTTAAAATCAAGATCCTCGAAGTTCCTCGCGCAAGGCATCCTTCCTGCTAAGTCGCGCGTGAAAATACTAATTATTATACCGATTATTAATACGAAAACTTTATACCGTCATGCACAGTACGTTGGCTGTTATAACGTTTCCAAGTTCTAGCGCGCAGAGGTACACGAGTCTAAACTGGTGACGCAGAGGGGATTATCCTTTAGTTATAATAACGCTTGGTTATCATTCATTAGAAGCTTGCCAATTAAGATCGTGTTAATTAGGAAAAACAGTTCCCCCCACCCCCTTTCTCAAAACATGTTGTTGATCATTGTTCAAAAACATTGAACTCAATTCATCAACGGGACAATAAGTTGATAAACCCTTTTTTTCATCATTCAAATCAATTTTTAATTGATTCCTTTTCAAGTTATTTATTTTCGAAAAAATAAATCCATCAATAAAAAATTTTACAGACTCACCGGCTGATCACACAGAAAAATTACTCACTATGCCAAAGTTGCCTTCTGTCTCAAAGTCCTTTCCGAAAATCCTCCTCCATTCGAAAATTGAGAATATCTAAACAAAATTTCGTAAGACAGTTGAAACAAATTGAAAAATATACAATTTAAAAGAAAATACTTACATAAAATTGAATTTATTTTTCTCCGCAGATGTCAAGGATGGATCGGTCGATTTCAAGGAAACGAGTAAATGTTTTTGACTCAGTTTTCTATCATCGATGTTTTTCCTTTCCTCCTATTTTCGAAAGAAAAAAAAATTATTTGTTAAATGGGACGGAAAATTGAAAACGACACAAACGTTGAATATTTTCACGCGCTAATATTTTTCATATAGTATGCAAAAAAAAAAATAAATAAAAATATTCTCTCCTCTCCCTCTCTCGTTTCATTTTGAAAATCGAGAAAAAAGAAATTGCAGGGAATTGCTTAATATTGAAAATTCTAAACACTAATTTCATATTAAAGCGGATGTTTATAATTTATAAGATGATAAATCCCTTCAGTGTTCATCGAAGTATGTGCAGGATGAAGTGGAGCGAAATGGGGTAGCGTGGCGTGTACTAATAAACCTGACTATGTTTCCGTAGTTATATTACACATCAACCCGCCTATCTACCTACCAGTCTAATCTAATGATGTTATCATCGTTACATATTATCTGGCTTTTGGAAACTCACTTCGTATATAATGACTGTACCACATACTCGCAATTAAATGTAATTTATTATTAACTAATAATAAAGTCGTCAATATTAATATACTTCTTTTCCAAATTTACTTTTCTAATTTAACTATGCATATGTATCAAGAAAAATCAGGGTTGCCACAAAAATTTAATTTTGTTTTTCCCTGACTTTTCCCTGATGTCCAGAAAAATTTTTGATTTTTTCTCTGACCCTAAAGATTATTCTCATTCACTCCAAACATTATTAGATTTTCGAAAAAAATGTTGTATTACATTTATTTACGAATTTCTTTAATTGTAAAATTATTCAAAAATAATAATAATATAATAATAATAATAATAATAATTTCTTTTTTAAATAAATATTCAATCATTACCTATTATTTTTCTATAGAAATTAAGATTTTCAAATTCGAAACTTCTGAAATTCGATAACTTTTGAGAAAAATATTATAAAACATAAAGGAATCGATTACTCCGAGTCTTCGACTCGGAGTGATCAATTCCTTCATGTTTTATAACAAATTTAAGATGACAGCGTGATAAAATTATTATTTTATATCAAAAAATATTGGAACTATAAATTCAAATTTTCAAAGATTTTAATTTGAACCCTTTTCAAAATTCAATTATTTCTAAAAGTTCACTCTATAATGCTTTTAATATTCATTTATAATATAAAAGTTTAAGTGAAATTCATTTTTTAATCAATTTTTATTAGTAAATTATTCGAGAATTCAATTATTTAAATACAAAAATAAATAATTTATTAAGTAATTGAATTTTTATGAGGAATTTTATCAAAGTTTTTTAAAAATAATTGAATTCTTTCGGCGAATTAAAAAAAAAAATTTTAAGAACAAATGCAATTTTCTATCATTTTATTAAAAATTGTACAAAAAATAATTGAAATTATGCGATAATTTTTGTTATTTATGAAAATTATTGAATTTTTGCAACGAATTTTATTAAAAAAATTTTTAAAGACTTGAAATCCTATGAATAATTTTATTAGAAGAATAATTGAATTCTCGTAACGAATTTTATTACATTTCATTTAAATAATTGAATTCTTTTAAGAAATTTTATTAAAATAGTAGATTTTGAAAATATTTTAATTTCAGTGAAGAATTTCTTTATTTGTAAAATGTAATTGAATTCTTGCAAAAAATTATTGAAAACAATTGTATTTTTCGAGGAATTTATTTAAAATTGTATTAAAAATAATTGAAATCCTCTGAAGAATTTTATTATTTAAAAGAATAATTAAATTCTTACAAAGAATTTTATTAATTTTTTTTTAAATAATTGAGATTCTGTAAAGAATTTTATTATTTATGAAAATAATTGAATTCTTGCAACGAATTTTATTAAAAAAAATTTTAAAGAATTGAATTCCTGTGAAGAATCTTATTTGTGAAAATAATTGGATTCCGGAGAAAAATATTATTATTTATGAAAATAATTAGTTTCTTGTGAAGAATTTTATTAAAATTTTTTTAAATAATTGAATTCTCGAAAAAAATTTTATTATTTATGAAAATAATTGATTTCTTATGAAGAATTTTATTAAAATTTTTTTAAATAATTGAATTCCCATAAAAAATATATTACTTGTGAAAATAATTGAATTCTTAAGAAGAATTGTATTGAAAATAATTGAATTATGAAGGTAGGAAAATTTTAATAAAATTGCAATTTTATTATCAAAATCTTGTAAAGAATTTTGTCAACATTTTTTTAATAATAGAATTTTTAAAAGAAGTTTATTTAAATTTTTCGAAATAATTGAATATCTCAGAACTATTTTTTGTAATGTTCTGAATATATTTGAATTCCTTCGAGAAACTTTATTAAAAAAAATTAAAAATAATTGAATTGGTGCGAAGAAATTCATAAGAAATTGATAAGTAATTGAATTCCTGTGAAATTTTTATTAATATTTTGTTTAAGTAATTCAATTCTTTAGGGAAATTTTATAAATATGTAATTGAAATAAGGAACATTTTTGAAAATAATTTAAATTTTGCCAAGAATTTTATTCAATTTTTTGAAAATAATTGAATTTCGGAGACGAATTTTATTTTTTATAAAGAGAATTGAAATTTTAATGAGAATTTTTAAAAATTTTTGAACATAATTGAATTTATGCGAAGAAGTTTATCACTTTTGAAAATAAATGAATTTCTGTAAACAGTTGTTCTTAAAATTTCTATTTAAATTCATTAAAAAATGATATTTTATAAAATTTCAAATTGACACCTTTGAAGTTCATCTATTTTTGAAGATTGTAAACGCAACTCTTTTGAAATTCAATTAATTTTGAAATTTTTAAGTAAAATTATTCATTAAATAATTTATAAGTAATTATTTTATGATAGTTCTTCAAGAATGAAGTTATTTAAAAAGAAACTATTATTAGAAATAGAAAAAATTGAAGGGTTTGTATTTAAATTCTTTGCAATTTCATAGTTTATGAGTCAAACAAAAAAGACACAAAAATTCAGGATTTTCTTATAAATTCAAAAAAATTAAATTTTTCCAGTACTTTTAATAAAAATCCCTGACTTTTCCCTGATTTCCCTGACGAATTCTAATTTCCCTGACTTTCCCCTGAATTCCCTGACCTATGGCAACCCTGAAAATACAAAATTTGTCGAAATATGTCTAATTTTTTAAACATCAACTTACCAGATTCGCTGCCTCCACGGCTTCTTCTAAAACGGCTAATCTTGCCTGAGTTAAAACTGCATTCAAATCAGCGCCAGTGAATCCTGTTGACAAATTTGCCAACTCTTTTAAATTCAGGTTCTCTGTATTTATACGATGAGATTTGCATATGGCTTTCAAAATCTCCTCCCTCTCAATCTGAAATAAACAACCAAATTTTGAATATTATCTTTTCTTTCTTCACTACAAAGTTATTTTTATTTTGTTACGAAAACCAAAGAATATTTTAAAGCAAATAATAGTCAACTTATTAAACAAGGCAATCAAAATTAGATTTTTTTGCTATAAAAAACATTAAATTGTTAATATCAGGAATTAATACCTATAATATCAAGTATTTTAGGGGATTTTATTAATTTTCTGATTCAAAAAAAGGAAAAAGGAAAAATATAAGGACCAACTGTGATCCCTAAACTTATTAAACAAGACAAACAAAATTAGATATTTTGCGATAAAAAAACATTAAATTGTCAATAAACTCGAGTATAAAAATATTTAAATATATGTGATTGATATAAATAATGTAAAATATAAACGAATAATAATTTTTTAATAATTTAAAATAGCGGTAATAATTAATTAATAAGAATGGCAAATTGCAAAACTATTGGTAAAGGATAAATTACCTCGTTTGGTAGAGGGCAAAGCAACAGTTTATCCAAACGTCCTGGTCTCAGAATTGCTGGATCTAATAAATCTGGCCTTGAAGTTGCTGCAACAATCGCAACACCTTCTCTACCCTCAACTCCGTCTAATTGTGTCAATAATTGATTAACTACTCTGTCAGTTACACCAGTGCTATCATGACCACGTCTGAAATTAATTGATTTTAATTAGTCAAAAAACACATAAACTTACTAAACATTTACTAATTTCAACAAGTTTCTAAATTTTATTTAATTATCAAAATATATAATATTTATTATTATTTTCTACTTTATTTAAAATTAATTAATAATATTTACCTAGGAGCAAGACTGTCGAATTCATCGAAAAATATTATGCACGGTTTTGCTTTCTGTGCCCTGAAAACAACACAATTTAATTTAATTAAAAACAAATTTTTAATATTTAAATTTTTAATTTAATAAATTTAGTTAATAATTGAGGCTCCGAATCTGAAAAGAGCACTCTCAGCATTAATTTTAAATGGTAAAAGTGCCCTTTAAGATCCGGAGCCTCAATTTAAAAATTATTTTCATTTAAATTAGAAATTTATTTAATAAATTAAAAAAAGGCATTTAAAAAAAATAAAATAAATATTTATGGTATTATAAAAAAGTAATATTAAATTAGAAATTCTTTAACTTTTTTTAAAGTATTTCAAATTAAAATTTTCAATTTCCAGGAGACTCACTTTTCAAAAACGTTTCGTACTGCCTCCTCACTGGCACCTATGTATTTTGATAATAGCTCAGGACCCTGAAAATAAATCAATAAATATTTAATGTTGTTTGTAAATATATTTAAGAAGTTAATAATAAAATCAGAGACTAATTAAAATATTTGAACAATAACTCAGTGAATAATAATTATTTAGAGAATAATCAAGTACTAATAAAATTAACCTTAACACTGATCACGTTCAGTCCACATTCTTTCGCAATTGCGCTGGCTAATAAAGTTTTTCCAGTGCCTGGCATTCCATACAACAAAACACCACTTTGTAACTTTATGGGAGCTTTTTTGAAAATTTGAGGGTACTTTAAAGGCCACTGTAGAATCTCAACTAATGTCTGCTTTATTTCTGTCAAACCTCCAATGTCTGACCACGTATTTCCGGAACCTTTGTACAAATTAATACCTTCCAAAGACATTGGCACACTGTTATTCGAAGCTTCCAATAAATCTTCCTCAACAAGTGTAATTTTCGATTTTAATTCATTATTCACTGGAAAGGAAAATTTATTTTTAAATTCTGAGTGTCTTGAAAAAAAATTGATTAAACATGAAAAGAAAATTTGCAAAAAAAATTATACAAATATGTTTAAATTAAAGAAAAGAAAAACTACCATGTCTTTTCCAGGCAGTGAAAGCAGCTTTATCTGACATATCCACTAGATCTTGAATTAACCATCCTTCTGTCTTATTTCCGTAATGATCCCAATTAATTTCACTGGAAACTTCCATTTTATCTCGGAGTCGAACTTTCAAAATTTCAATTCTATCGTTCTGTGTTAAATAAAATTGAATTATTAAAAAATCCAAAGCAAAATAATTTAAAAAATTGAATTTTTGAGAATAAAAAATTAAAATACTTTTTCTAAAACCGGAATTGAAACAATAGTCCGAAAAAAATGAACTCCTTTCGCAATTTTTAATTTTTCTCCAAGTTTGTTTACATCCGAACAAGTAGCTATCAATGTGATGTAATAGCTCGTTTGATATTGGGACAATGTATTGAAAATCATATCTGTTATCCTGTCAAAAAATTGTTTAGATTAATTTACAGCTTAATTAAATATTTTCATCACGAAACATTTTACTTGATCAAAATAAAAGAATAAACTATGTAAAACCGTAAAAAAACAAATTTGTTTCTAAATTTATAAGTATTTGAAGTATACTTTTATGTATACACGAAGACATCACAATAAAAATATTCATGGAATTTTTTTATCAAATTTGATCGAAATACGACAAAACGTACGATATTCTTCATAAAAACATTTTAAATAACAAGAAATTTGCGATATTGTAGTTAAAAAATCCAAAAATTGTCAAAACTGACATAACCTAACCTAAAAAAGTATACTGAAAAAAAATGAGATTACATATGTTTAACTTACTATTTTAAAGCAGAATTTATTCATTATCATTAGAAAAACATGAAATATTTACGATTATTGGTCTTCGAGAACACGATTATAAATATAAACTCGAAATAATTAAACTTTTAATCCCCTTCTGAATCTGCATGACTGGTGCGTGAAATGCGCACAACTACTGTCGGCCATTTTCGCGCATGCGCAGTTGATAAAATTTCACATATATAGAAATTTTCATGAAAATATTTTCAACTAACTCAATAATAACAGAAGAATAAATAATATTTTATAAAAAATAACTTGAGAAACTATTAAATATTGAGATAATTTAGTCACAATTAAATGAAAATACAAAAAATGTTAACCTAACCTAACAAAAATGGTCATTGAACAAATTACATGACTACATGCTTAACTTACCATTTTCTCAACAAATAATACATTCTCCCACTAAAATAACAAGTATTGATTGCGATCGACTATATTTTTGAACAAAGACAAACAAATGAAAGTATAGTAGAAATACTAAAAAAACCTCGACATTGTTGCGCGACAAAAGGCGATTGACGAATACTGCGCATGTGCGCAGAAAAAATTGGCAAAATGCATTTTCCCTCAAAATTTGTTATCACAAAAATATTAACTATATCAACAATGATAAAATAACAAAAAAATCAATATTTAATGGAAATAATTTGAGAAATAAAGTCAGATTGTGATAATTTAGACAAATAAATATACATGTGGTAAATAACGCCAATTTGGTTGAAGAAAGTAAACACTCAATATAAAAATCATGATTACCTGGTTAACTTACCATTTTCTAAACAAAAAATACATGCTGCTATTAAATAAACAAGTATTGATTGCGATGATCTAACTTCCGAAACAAAAACAACCATATTTTTAGGTAAAAAACACTAAAATGAAACCTAAAATGTTGATCTCCTACAACCTGGCTGACAAAACTCTACAGAACAATAATCGATACAGTGTACAGTCTTACCAACCTTACAATCGATCAACTAGTCAAATCAATAACTTCCGGTGCGCATGCGCAAGAAGTTAATTTTTACCCGCGAAAATGTGTTCAAATTTAAATATTTATGGAAACAGAATAAAATAATTTAATAAATTACGTTTAGATAAATAACAAAAACTTATTAAAAGGTTTTAAAAACGTTTACATTTGGATGAAATTTTTTTTTTAAATAGATAAATCAACTATGATTACCTATATAAATTTTAAATAATAAATAAGAAAAAATATAAAAGCTTTTTGAACATTTAGTTATATAAGTGTAGATATAAATTTAAATTGTAAATTTAAAACAATTTAATTAATAAATAAGAATTGTTTATTTATAATTTTTATTCAATTATTTTTTTTAATTTAATAATTTAATTTTTTTAATCTTATTTATTTTATTTCATCTATTTTTTATCTAATTAATTATGATAATAATAATCTAATTAATTTAAAAAAATCAAAAATTGTTATTTAATTTAAATTTTTCTATTGTAATTATTAATTTATTAGTAAGAATTTGATGTAATCGATCACACATTTTATTATTAATTTATTAATTCGTTTTTATGTTAATTTTAAAACAGAAGAAAAAAATTGCTATTTGTAGACAAACCTTATCTCTCTGACCTTATTAAAATAATTTCGAATGGAATTTTAAATAAAAAAGGCGAATATTTTTCTCCTTTTTTCATAATAAGGAAATTAATTATCTAATAATAAAAGAATAATTTCTTTTGGTTAATATGATTTAAAGTATGATAGGCAGTTTCTATTGCGACATACTTATCATTAAATTTTTTTTTTAAATTAAAATATTCTAAAAATTACCTGGCAGCATTCATTGAATCAGGAGTCATTTCTTCATCGTTTGTCGCAGCATTTGTTATGCTATCTAAATCGTCAAGAATAAGCACTGAATACTCGTGAAATATGCAATCTGCCATTGCAGACTGAATTACTTTTTGTATTACTTCCATTTTTTTGCCTGCAAAAAAAATCGTTTTATGAGAACCTTTTAAGTTTTCAAATGAATTATTTTGCATTTTATTTTTGAAATTATTTATATTAATTATATTTATATTAACTTATTTATTAATAAAAAATTTTTATAAATATTTAAAATTGAAAAATAATTTAATTTCTATAGACATTATTTTGTATTTTAATTTCAAATTTATTATTATTTTTTAGTGAAAATATTTAAGGAATATTTACTATTTTGTTTCTTAAATATAAAAATTTTGTCTAAGTACTAAAAATTGAAATATAATTAAATTTCTATAAGGAGACATTATTTTGCATTTTATTTTTGAATTTATTATTTTGTCAGTGATCATATTTAAATATTATTTATATTATAATATAATTTATTTGTTAATAAAGAAATTTTTTATAAGTATTCAAAATTGAATACTTACAAGTATTAATTGAATGCACAATTAAATATATCTATAAAGAGATATTATTGACTATGTGTATTAATAAACATACCTTTAAGTGGTAAACACTCAATTATATGTGTGTGAATAAAATACGGTGGCTTTTGTATTTGATTTACTAAAACTTTACAAAAAGTTGATTTTCCAGAGCCCATTTCTCCACAAATTAAAATATTTTCACGATTATATTTCAAGTCCTTTATATTATGCAATCCCAAACTCAAGCGCAATGTAAGTTCACATTTTGAAAGTAAGTCTTCAAAAATTCTGAAACAATAATTATAAATTAATTTATATTTATTAAATTGTAATTTTTTGATAATTTACTATTTCTTATTAATTAATAATAATTAAGAATAATTTACTTTCATAATTAAAAAAATACAAAATTAAAAAATAAAAAGAAGGGTTGAAAAAGTATCTTACCCGAGTGTAATTTTTTTAATCCATGATTCATCATTCTGTAGATCTTGATTAGTGTCTCGACCAGTATTGTTTGCTACTATATTCACGTGTATTTTTAAATTCGATAAAGTAGTGGCGTCGAGACGAGCGTATTTACACTCAGGAATAATTTTCAAAAGACAAGTCTTTCCATTATCAAATACAAGTTTGGCACAGGAATTTATAACAATTTTCTCTTTTTTCGTAAATCGATTCACAAAATTTTGAAAATCTTCAGAAGTCACATTATCATTTAGAGAAAATATCTCAATTGACGAAATTTTGTTGTCCTCTGATTCATATGATTCCAAAAGTACTTTCCCTCCAAGTCTGACTTTCAAATTCATTTTTAAATTCGACGATAGATAAATGCACTTATGTAGAGAAGTCGCCATGAAATATTCTTTATCAACTGAACTAGAGCACTTCTCCAAATAATCTTCCAAACACAATAATTTGACAATAAACTCCGTTGACTCTTTGGGAATATTTTGAGTATCGTCCCTTAGGAAGTCAGTACCCGTTTCAATGTACTGTAAATTTTCCTTGACTTTTTTTATTTTACAAAAATTCTCCTCCGATGAATGAAAAAAATTTGGCAAATGACGTTTGTGAATAAAAACGTTATACGGACACTGTAAGGAAACGTCGAATTCATTTGCCTCTGAAATATTTTCTATCTTAAACATCTCATGCACACGGAAGACTTCAGGAGGACCAATATTTATGTATTTATTCAATTCTGCCTGAATATCGACAGAAAAGTTTTCCTCATTTGCGATTTTATTTGTCTTGGAAAACATCGGTGGCAGATACTTGAATATACTCCACATTCCACTTGCAGTATTTACATCATGTGAAACTGTCGACTTTTCAATACACTTTGTACCAGTTTTAACAATTGCATTTTTCACATGCACTTCGGAATCTTCGAACAATTTTCCATAACGAAAATTCGGATTGAGGGAATCTAATGAAAATTTAATTAATTGAATTTCATTAATTTAAATGATTCGATAAATCAGGGACCGTCACGGAATCAAAACAAAATTAAAAAATACTTTTGTTTTGATTCGGATATGGGTATCAGAATCAAAATTCCACTCTATTTAGTTTTGATTCCAATATAAAAATCAAAATTCAACTCTATTTCGTTTTGGTTCCAATATCAAAATCAAAATTCAACTCTATTTCGTTTTGGTTCCAATATCAAAATCAAAATTGAACTCTATTTCGTTTTGGTTTCAATATCAAAATCAAAATTCCATTCTATTTCGTTTTGGTTCTAATATCAAAATCAAAATTCCATTCTATTTAGTTTTGATTCCAATATCAAAATCAAAATTCTTTTTTGTTTTAATTTTGATAAAATACTACTGCGCGTGTATAAGTCTCATTGAACCTAAATTTTGTTGCAAATGTCAAATATATCAGAAGATAATATCGTTTTTACATACGAAATCTGAAATAGAATTCGAATCGACTTCTGTTTCTATAAGAAAACCGAATTGCAGTATTATAATATCAGAATCAAAATAGGAAGTAAATTTTGTTTCGTTAACGTATCAGAATCAATATAGGAAGTAAATTTTGTTTCATTACATTATCGGAATCAAAATAGGAAGTGAATTTTGTTTCGTTACAATATCGAAATCAAAATAGAAAGTGAATTTTGTTTCGTTACAGTATCGGAATCAAAATAGAAAGTAAATTTTGTTTCGTTACAGTATCAGAATGGAAACAGGAAGTAAATTTTGTTTCGTTACCGAATCAAAATCAAAATACATTAATAATTTCGTTTTGTTTTGGAATATCGTAACGAAATCAAAATTTGATTTCCGTGACGGTCCCTGCGATAAATATTTAATGAAAAAATAAAGCGAAAATAAATAGAAAAATCTAATAATTACCAACGAGAATTGTTACGTGAAGACGTTTGGAAACCCACACGACAATTGGCTGATGTCTCGCAACAACAGATATTTGATCCAAAAGAATAGACTGAATTTTGTCGCATTGATGTTCCTGAAGAAAATTTGAATTATTTAAATTTTTTTAATAGAAATAAATAAATTAAGTAAAAGTAGAAATAAAAATCTATATTAATAATCGTTGTATTCCGCGGTTAGTTAACTATTTAGTTAGTAAGTTAAGTTAGTTGTAGTTTACTTTTTTGTTTCTTAACTTATTTAATAATTTTTCTTTTGAAATAATTTCAATTTTTAAATTAATGTATTGAAAATCATCACATTTTAGCAAAGCATTTTAGCAAAAAAAATTTATTATAATAGAATTCCTTCGAAGAAATTTATTATTTAGTAAAATAATTGAATTCTCGTGTATAGAATTTTGTTAAAATTTATGAAAATTCGAATTAAATTCTTTTTCAAGGATTTCTTATAATTTTTTTTTAAATAATAATGGAATTTTCTATATTAATTTTAATAAAAAATTTTACAAAATTATTAGTTTTTATGAACAATTTCTTTCAAGTTTTTAAAAAAATCATGTTTGTCAATAATTGAAATTAAACATTTAATTATTAAATTTTATAAAAATTTTAGAAAATAATTGAATTCTTTTGAGAAAATTTATAACAAATTAAAAAAAATTGAATTCTTTCTTAAAATTTTTTTTTAAATAATTGAATTTTTGCAAAGAATATTACTATTTATAAATATAATTGAATTTTTTCAAAGAATTTATTAAAATTTTAGAAAATAATTAAATTTTTTTGAAATATTTTATAACGAATTAAGAAAAAAATTGAATTCTTTCGTAAAATTTTTTAAAAAGAATTGATTTTTCGCAAAGAATTTTACTATTTATAAATATAGGTAATTGAATTTGTTTGAAGAATTTATTAAAATTTTAGAAAGTAATTGAATTCTATTGAAATTTTTTATAACAAATTAAGGAAAAATTGAATTCTTTCGTGAAATTTTTTGAAAATAATTAATTTTTTGCAAAGCTTTTACTATTCAAAAAAATAATTGAATTGTTTTGAAGGATTATTAAAATTTTAGAAAATAATTGAATTTTTTCGAAAAATATATTATATTAAACATTTTTAAAAAATTGAATTCTTTCATGAAATGTTATTAAAATTGTAATAAAAATAATTTAATTTTTGCAAAGAATTTTACTATTTATAAACATATTTGAATTGTTTCGAAGAATTTATTAAAATTTTAGAAAATAATTATAGTCTTTTGAATTATTTTATATCGAATTAAGAAAACAATTGAATTCTTTTGTAAATTTTTTTTAAAAATAATTAAATTTTGCAAAGAATTTTACTACATATTTATAAATATAATTAAGTTGTTTTGTAGAATTATTAAAATTTTAGAAAATAATTTAATTTTGTCACGAAATGTTATTAAAATTGTATTAAAAATGATTGAATTTTTGCAAAGAATTTTACTATTTATAAATATAATTGAATTTTTTCGAAGAATTTATTAAAATTTTAGAAAATAATAATTGAATTCTATTGGAATTTTTTATAACAAATTAAGAAAAAATTGAACTTTTTCATAAAATTTTTTGAAAATAATTGAATTTTCGCAAAGATTTTACTATTTGAAAAAATAATTGAATTGTTTTGAAGGATTATTAAAATTTTAGAAAATAATTGAATTCTATTAAAATTTTTTATAACGAATTAAGAAAAAAATTGAACTTTTTCGTTAAATTTTTTGAAAATAATTGAATTCTTACGAAGAATGTTATTATTTATGAAAATAATTGAATTCTTGCGATGAATTTTATTAAAATTTTTGAAATCAATAAACAAGAATAATTAATTAGTAAATTAGTTAATAATTGAATTTTTTTAAAGTTTGAATCTGAAATTATTCAAAAATTTATATTTGAAAATAAAAAATTAATTATTTATACAGTACGTACTAGAATTTCTTGATCTTGTATACTTTTTGGAGTTACTATTACACTTGTAAGCGAAGGTGGTTCAGATTGACAAGTAATAAAAATTTCATCACCTTCCTCAATCCCTAAGCTTCTTGCAAAAGTTGCACTTAATGAAGGGTAACCATTTGGACTTGGTAATAAATACCACGATAAATAGTAATCTGCAGATTTATGAGTCAGTCTTACAACATTTGGCTGTGAAAAATAAAATTTTGTTCAATTATTTATAAATATTCAAACTATTCCTATTTATTTTATAAGTCAAAAAATGATTTTCCCTTATGAGACAATTAAACTTTAGCCCGCAAGAAAGATTTAAAAAACTTTTACCAGCGATTTCTGTATTATCAAAAATTCCATGGTAAAAGGAACAAAATTGAAATTATCATCATCGATATTTAAATTTAAATAGAAAAAAAGAAAAAAACATAAATAATATCAAATCATTATTTATATTTGAGGTTATAAACAAACGTTGAGCATGTTGCATATAGTTTAACATGTAGCAATAAACATTAAACATAATGTAATTAACATACTGACCTTTGATATTAATTTTCGCAACCACGTATCTGGCAGATATAGAAAACAATTATTTACACTAATATATTTAATTATAAAACGTTCTTCTTGCATTTTTCTTGCTCCAAGTTCGGCCCGCCAAAAAATTGCAACTAAAAAATGTTAATTCATAACAGTTTTTTACCAACCTAGAAATAAAAAATTCTATTCTGCATTACCAACATATTTTCAATATTAGGAAAACAATGGTTTAAAGGTTTAAATTTCATATTTTAGGAAAATTGTAAAAATTCAGTATTTATCCAAATAGAATTAACGATTTAAAGAAATATATTGACAACTAGTATTAAAATCAACATGATTTGCAAATTTAAAATGTTCTGTGCAAATTTCCTGCATTGCTTTTAATTATTCCGATTATTCCGAAACATAATTACAGTGATATTAGTTATTAATTAGTAAATATAGAGCAAAGAAAATAATTTCAGTATACTGGCTAAACTTCCGCACTTTGACTTATTGTTTAACAAATTCAACAAATTAATTTCAAATAAACAATGTGTGTATAGAACATAACCTACAAATAATTTTTCAAGTCTGAATTTCCCGAACAAAACAAATTACAGCGCTGACTACGACACTGAATTTTAGTGCAAACTTTTATAACACAACATACGATGAACAATACGTTTTAAAACAAACTATAATTAAAAAATAACAACGATAGAAAATTAATGTTCACAATCATAACATTGAAAACACTTGTAAACACACAACTGAATTGTTGGCAAGAATGAATTCCTACTATGTTGGCAGAACGTGAGATTACAGTTACTCTTGGTTGGAACATTTGCCGCTAGGTGTCACCTACGAGGTTTTCTTCTTGTTAATGAATAATTCTGATTGGTCAGAACCTGGAGGCATCGCCAATCAGAGATTACTGTAACCGAAAACTGACCTTTCAAACGAGCATCAATCTAACTGCAGTTGTTCCTTGCTGCATGGACGAATATGAAGTAACGTACAAGTGACAAGATTTTCATAAATGAGAAATCTACACCTTCTGGAACATAATATCTCTGAATAATACTTGCAGGTAAAGAATATTCATCATTTTTATCGAGTATTTCACCATTAAATTGTTATTTTTCATATATTTCATTCAAGATAATTGATTGTTTTGAGCGTGAGAAATGACGTGGGTGGCTTCCCAAGCGACTGTTAATATTTTGTATTTAATTACTCCATATTTAATATCAGTGGTTTTTTTCATCAATTTACTATCTTATCATAATGAGAATTATATAATACATCTCGTGAAGTATTTTTTTCCCCTAAAAATGACATTTTTCTCAGTTCCCGCGTTTTTATGTACTTTTTTCGACAGCAGTCTTGTACATGGTTAGAATGTTCTGAATGTTCACCTCAAAATGTCTCGAATATTTACTTATTTCTGACAGAAACACACATTGACTATTAGATGGGCAGTTGGGGTTAAAGTACTTTATTCTGTTTTGTAAATATTTTTAAAAGTTCTCTTAGTTTTCATAACCTTTTACCCCTTGTAAATACACGTAGCACGCCAGAATTTCAGTTGAAATTTTTCACCCTGAATTAATTAATTTTGACGATGACTTTCGTGATTCCATCTCACAGGTAAACCTGTGAGCTCTTGTGACAAGGACAAAATTTGTCTTTACAGTTTTAATTTTTATATTAAAATATTTATTTATACATAATAATAAAATATATTTGGATAATTATTCTCTGTTTGAAAACATTTAATTTACATTGTTATTATTATATTATGTAAATTTGACAAATATCTTTTCTTATCTCTTATAGTAGTATTTAATTCTAACCTAATTAAACTCACGTTAATCTTTTAAAATACCGAATCTTTTCAATCTTTAAAGGAACAAAAAATTTTCTTCATTTTTATTGCTCTTTGAACATTAAATAACAAACAATTTATTATCTTTTTTTCAATATGAATGAAATATGAATTAAATATGAAAGAAGTAGAATTTTATACTTATGAATTTTTTACATCATTTACTATCATTTGGATTAATTAATTTTAATTTATTAATTATGAAACGAATTGTAATTATTTTTTAATTCTTTAAATAACAAAATAATACTTTTTTTCTCAATTTAAATAGTGTTACGAAAAAAACAAATATTTTTCAGTTTTTCCACAATATCCGACAATCAAAATGGCACCAACAAGAATTCTCTGCACACAAAGCAAACCAAGTGGAACTGCAGTTCCAATGAGAAAAGGTGTGACTACTCGTAATTCTGTGACGAGCAATCAACTACCTAAACAAGCAGTAGTAATTAGGGAAACCAGACTTAAACGAAAAGCCGATGCTTCTCCACCCAAAGACAAAACCGTTAAGCGTTCAGCTCTAGGAAATATTACCAATGTGACCAAAGTACGATTAAAGGAATATTTTCAAATGTTTAGACATAATTTTTTTTAAAAGAAAATTATTAATCTATTTTTCATTTTTTAGGCCATTGGTAAAACCTTTACTCAAGTTAATGAGCCAAAGAAACTTGTGAAAAAAACAATTGTCACACAAACCAAAACCACAGTCACATCCAAAATTCATTTATCCTCACAAACAATTGGTCTTAGATCACTTGATAAAGTTTTAGTTAAAAATGACAATGCAGCACTCGTCAAGACAAAAATACAGCCACGTGCAACAAAATTTGTCAAAAAGGATGAGGAGAAATTGGAAATTCCCAAAGTTGCTGCATTAAGACGCAGCGTTGACTTAGAAAAATCCGAGGATAATTCTTTATATGTCAGCGCTTTAGAAGAAGTTTCTGAGGAAAGTTCCAAAATGGTGACGAGGAGTAGTGTTAAAGTGAGTATTTTTTTTTAAGTACTCTTATGAGACTTTTTCTTTTCTAATTACGAAATAATTTTAAATAAATTATATGAGTGATTTCATTTCAAAACGATAAATAAAAAATAGAATATTCAAGCTCTTGTTTAATATAAATTTTATTAAAATCGGAGGTAACGTGTTTTAAGATTTTCCGAAGTTTAACTTTTAAACTCAATTTTGAAATGGAATGCCTCATATGTTGCATAATAAATTTTTTTGCAGGCATCACAGTTGGTCCCCTTTTGTCCCCTTATTTCAATTTTATCACCTTTTTCCCCTTTTTCTAATCAAAAATAAGGAAAAATAATTAATTAACATTCAAATAATTAAAATATTATTATTAATAGTTTTTTCTAGAAAAACAAAAATTCTAATACAAAACCTTCAATTTTTTCCTTTTCTGACAATAATTTCTTTTTAAATAACTTAATTCTTAAAGAACTATCATAAAATTATTACTTAGAAATTATTTAATGAATAATTTAATACTTAAATATTTAAAAATTAATTCAATTTTAAAAGAGTTGCGTTACAATTATTTTCATAAATAAAGATTTTAATTTTAAATTTTATAAAATTTCAATTTTTAATGAATTTTATTAGAAATTTTAAAGAACTTAAATTTATGCAAAAATTATCAAAATTTAAATTATTTCAGAAATTAGTTAAATTTTTTAATATGTATTTAATTAACTATAAAAAATAATAAACTTATCGAGGAATTTTCGTTAGAAACACTAATTTGGAGAAGTTTTAAATGATTGAAAAAATTCAATTATTTTCAAAAGCAATAAAATTCTTCGCAGAAATTCAATTGTATTCAAATATTTAAAGAAATTCTCGTCAAAATTTGAATTCTCTTTATAAATAATAAAATTCTTCTTTAAAATTCAATTATTTTCAAAAATTTTAATAAAATTCTTGGCAAAATTTCAATTATTTCATGATCCACAAGTTTTGAACGTTCAGATGAACGAAATATTTTGTATTAAAAATATTTTCAGAAATTACTGATTCGAATAAAAATTTAAAACTTAGATTCTAAGTTTAAAAACTTTAAAAATTAATTTTTTTGATACTGACTCAAAATTGTTGTAATAAAAATTGAATTTGAAGAAGAAATAAATAAATTTCGTTCATTTAAACGTTCAGAACTTTAGGATCATATTATTTCCAAGAATTTTCCAACATTCAATGATTTCCAATATCTACTATTTTAATAAAATTCTCCAAAAGAATTCAATTATTTAAAAAAAATTTTATTAAGATTCGACGCAAACGTTTAATTATTTTCATAAGTAATAAATTTAATTATGTGAAAATTTGTTGATAAAATTTTTTGAGAATTTAATATTAAGGAACATTCAATTATTCAATACAAATTATTTATTTTTTTATTTAAATAATTGAATTCTCGTACAAGTTTTGGATAAAAATTGATTTTTTCGAAAAAAAATCAATTATTTGAAAATTTTTTGATAAAAGTCCTCGCAAGAATTCAATTATTTTTAATTCAATTTCAATTAAAACTCTGAAAAGAATTTGACTATTTTCAATAATTAATTTTAATTAAATTCTTTGCCGGAAGTCAATTATTTTGAATTCAATTTTAATAAAATTCGTTAAAAAGAATTAAATTATAATTTTATTAAAAATCGTCAAAAGAACTTAATTAATTAAAAATTAGTTGCTTAAATTGTTTATCAGACTTCAATTTTAAAAAACGTTCAATTATTCAATAACTTATTCATTTTTGTATTTAAATCATTAAATTCTCGTCGAATTTTCGAATAAAATTAATTTAAAAATGACTTTTATTAGTTAAATTTTTAGATAATAATTGAATATTAAAAGCATTATAGTATAAATTTTTAGAAATAATTGAATTTTGAAAAAGTTACAAATTGAAATCTTTGAAATTCTGAATTTTTTATATTTTTTTTATTTTTAAATTTTAACTCACAATTCTGTAGAATTAATTTTTTTTCAAAAAGTTTAATTGAAATTTTTTATTTTCTAATATTGAATTGTAAATAAATACATTTTTGAAAATTCTCGGAAATTTTTTTAAAAACTATTATAAATAATTGATTTAAAGAAGAATTTTTGTTAAAAATTCTAAGAAATAATAATTTAATTGAAATGAAAATAATTTTGAAGAAGTTAGAATAAAAATATTTTTTATAGTACAAAATAATAATCTTATCTCTCGGTCATGTTTTATAATAATATTCTCATAAATTGTTGAATTTGAAAAAAGATTTGAATTTGAATATTTTGAAAATCTTAATTCCAATGGAAAAATAATAATTATTAAATATTTTTTTAAAAAAGAAGTTATTGTTGTTTTAGATTAATTTTACAATTGAAAGAAATTCGTAAATAAATGTTTTTGTAATAACAAACTTTCTGTTTCTGACTAAATAGCAAGCACAAGGAAAAGTGGAGAAAAAGGAGAAAGCAGAAGAGGCGGAACCCATTAAGTCGATAGAAGTTGCTCCCGTAGAATTACGATTAAATGCACCGCCAGAGAGAAAACTTCCGGAAGGTGTTGAATGGGATTTCGATGGTGAAAATTGGTTGGACCCATTCCAGGTTTCACACTACGCAATGGACATTTTCAATTATTTGAAGGAAAGAGAAATGATTTTTCCAATTGGAGATTATATGGAGAAGCAAATTTGTCTTTCGCGATGGATGAGATCGTTATTGGTAGATTGGATGGTTGAGGTTCAAGAATCATTCGAACTAAATCACGAAACTTTATATTTGGCTGTGAAATTAGTTGATCTTTATCTAACAAAAGTGACTGTCGGCAAAGAGACGCTGCAGCTTCTTGGCGCTGCCAGTTTATTCATCGCAAGCAAATTTGACGTAAGATTCTTCATCAAAAAAGTTGAAACTAATTTTTTATTTTGGAATAAAAAAAAAATTATATATTTTTTTTATTTTAGAATAAAAAAAAATTATATTTTTTTATTAAAAATTATAAAATAAGTTAACTTGTTTATCTTTCTAATCTTTATTAATTATTAATATTGATTTTCTATTTTCAGGAAAGAATACCTCCGATGGTGGAAGATTTTCTGTATATATGTGACGGCGCTTACACGCAAAAAGAACTCTTAAGAATGGAAATGAATATTCTCAAAATTGTCGATTTTGATCTTGGAATTCCTCTCTCGTATCGATTTCTTCGTAGATACGCTCGGGTAATTATAAGAAAACAAATTTTCATTAATCAATAATGAGAGAATAATTAATATAAAATATTTGTTTTATTATTTTTTTTACAGTGTGCAAAAGTTTCAATGCCAACTTTAACATTAGCTCGTTACATCTTGGAATATTCCTTGATGGACTACGCAACAATAATGTTCAGTGACAGTAAAATGGCAGCGGCTGCGCTATTCCTCGCTCTTCAAATGAAGGACTTGAGTGGCTGGACAGCGACTCTTGAATTTTATACCGGTTATGCACTGGCCGAATTAAAAGAAGTTGTCCTTGCACTAAATGAAGGACTACTTAGAAAACACAAAGAAGCCCTAGCCACCGTTAGAAACAAATACAGTCATAAGTGAGTATTTTCGATTTTCGATTTAATTTTTTATTTCTTTTTTTAAAAAAAAGTTTTTTATTTTTAATTTTTCCAGAACTTTTTTTAATCTAATTTTTCATTTTTTTCAGAATTTTCTTTGAAGTTGCAAAGGTGCCATTAAAAGAGGTGTTGGATATATAAATTCCCCACACACACTGTAAGTATTTTTTGAAAAAAAAACTTAGAACGCGAAATTAATCACATTGATTGGTAAAGCGCTTGCTCATTAAGTTGAAAATTACGAACGAAATAAAAGGAGACAAGCGATTTGGACGAATTATCTACTGACGAGTGTAAACTCTTTTGTTGTGATAAACGACTAACGCGAATTGAGAAATTTAATTTTAACTATTAATAAAATAAAAATCTAGAGAGTATGACTGAAGTTTAGTTAACAGCTTTGTGCGTAATTTTGGAAATACGGTCGACAAGGATAAAGTGATTTCTATACAATCTTTTTTTTTATTTACTATTTATATATATAAATACCATTAACGTAATCATTTGCAGTCTCAGTATTTTTAAGCTATTTTGAATTTTGTTGAAAATTTATTTTAGCGCCACGCTTTTATTCTTTGTAGTACATTTATCTTCTTTTTTTTAATTTTACAATTTCTTTTAATTTTTTTTTGTCGCCGTTACTTATCCACTCGCTAGTTTTCCGAAATATGCAAACTGAGGTACTAATTTTTATTATTGAAATCTTTTCAAATGATAGTCTATTATGAAATAAATCAGTAAAAAAAATCGAAAAAAAAATTGCCGTTTTAGATTACAAGTGTGGCGCATTGTTATGCATTTTTGTTGCACTTTATACAGACTGATAACGGTGAATATTAAAAAAAATCGCGAGCAAAAATTTTTTTACAATGTAATATCTTTTGTGTAATATTAATCATTTGATTAACTATTCTTTATTAGGAAAAAAATAAAATGTAGTCTAGTACCAGTTCACATTAAAATGTATTTATATTATTAATGAAATAGACTGATATTTGACTGCATATTCTTGTGATAGGATTTTACTTCCCTTTCCGAGATATTTTCAAAATTTAATATTTTAATTTGATTTTTTTTTTAATTCATTAATTAAAATAAATTTTTTAATTTATCATTTGCTGGTTCAATATAATTTAGGGATTAAATTTGATATAAGTGGTTTTTTTTTAAATATACGTAACTTGTTTGTGGAGCAAGTTAAATTTTACCCTAAAGGGTAAGAGAAAAGGAAACTAAAAAAAAAAGCGCCGGGAATGTTTCAGAGTTGTAAATACAGATCGAATCTGTGACTACATGTATATACATTATTCCTTACACATTATGAGATTTGATAGAGAAAAAAAAACGTGAATATGAATAGTACATTGCTATTTTTTCTTTTTTTGATAAAATTATTTGGTGTACATATTTACAATGTTATTGCGTACTTTAATATCGACAGTAAATGTAATATCTATTATTTTTAAAGTGTGCGTGTGTATGTGGTTCATATTGACATGATTTAATTAATAAATCATAAAAAAAATAAATTATCTTTTTTATTAATTTCCTTCAATGCTTTCCGAAAATTTCCAGGTCTTCAAAAATCAAAGATTCAGAATAAAAAATATCGGTATTTATTTTCATTATCAATTGGAAAAAAAAGCTAAATCAAAATTTATATTCTATAACAAATATATTTTTATAACAATATGTAAACAATTTTTGTATCATATTTTTAAAATGTAATACTTTTTCAATTTCATTTATAAAACAATATTGTCCCTAACTTTCAATAATTTTTTATAAAGATTTTTGAGACACTTTTTTAATAACATGGCACTAATTCTATAAAAAAAATTTTTTTTTATAAATATTTTCATTTCTTTTCCTTTTTTTAGAAAATTAGAAAATTAAATATTTTCAAGGCTTTTTAATAAGACCTTTTTTTCAGCCTCTTTCAAATATATAAAAATTTGTACACTAAGTGTCTAATTTTTTTACAAGATAAATTAGTAGAAGCGTAAAACAATGGCTGAATACAACCATTTAAAAAGTGCGTCCTGCTTTTTTTTTATCTAATACATTTAGTAATAATGCATGTTTTTTTTTGTTAATTCATAAATTATGGTGAACATTAATCAATAAATCTAAATTAATCAGATGAAATATAATTTTCAAAATAAATATTATCTAAATATAGATAAATATACAGTCTCTAAAAGCAAGATAATTTGATCGTTATTCGTTAATTATTGAGATTCATTATTAACACTATATTTATCAATACTACTCTTCAAAATATATTTTGAGTATAAACAATTTTGCAATAATTTGAAATTTGAATTAACTAATTTTGATTAAATGTACAATGAAGATTCATTTACTACTTTTCTATAAATTAATGAGTCGAAATGCATTATAAAATAATTGCAAATTGTCTTTGCAAATGTTATATATATATAATAAATAAAGCAATTTAAATAATGAGTAAATTGCTATACAAATATAGCCTGGGTCAAAGTGGATCTTTAGATAATTTTCTTGCCTGTATTCGCACGCATCTTGGACATTCTTTGGAGCTTGAATTGTTTCTACAATTAATATGATAACACGCGCCACAAGCGTCACATCTTATCACTTTATTCAATTCCCAAGGATAAATCACATCCTTTGAATTGTCCTTGCAAATTTCGCACATGAATCCTCGAGCTTGGCATAACTGTAAGTTGATTTAAAAAATTTTAGTTGAAATTTAAAAAATTATACAATAACATTAAATTATTATTTTTCATTAAACAAATTGTCTGTCGAAGGTAATAAAAATAAAATGTATTTATTTTGAAATTCTATTTAAAAAAATTTATAATTCTTACGATGCAATCCGCTACATGGGCATAACAGTCTTCAATTAGCTTGTGCAATTCGTCGGGTAGAACGCCAAGTTTAACTTGTATTAAATCTTGTAGCGAATATATATGAGGATCATTCAACAAATGTTTTGGTTCTTTTCTCAGCGCTTCCTGTAAACTGAATTCGAGAACATTCAATATTTAGTTATTAGTTTAAACTTTTTATTTTTTTTTGTCACTTTTCTATAAAATTAATACCTTCCTGCGAAACGGCAATTAAAAAGGAAATCCTTAAAGAAAAATAATTGAGTGCGAAGTATTTTTGTGCGCTCCAATTGCTTGACACGTCTGTACAATAATGGATTCAAGCCATTAACTTGAAAAAGTGGATCCATTGTCATTTGATCCAAAAGTCTGTACGAGAAATTCGAAACTGGGTACCTATCACAAAAAGGATTTTTTAAAAATAAAGACTTCGATCATGACCCTAAAGTGTTCTGAAAAATATTTTCGTCCCAAGATATTCTAAAATATTTTAATCTTAAGATTAAAAATAATAACTATTTTAATGAAATAAATAATTTTAATTTAATTAAAATACACTAAATACGAAATACAATTAAAATACACACCTGCAAAAATCCCATTTGTATAAAATTTTTCCTGGTATCACTGACACTTGATTTGTATGGCAACCGGTACAAAAATATCTTCCTAAATATTCACAATAGCGAAATTTATTCGCATACTTAACTGCAACTTTCATTCCACAACCAGCGCATCTATAATTTTGCTTTAATATCGACGTCTTCTTTCTAGAAAAAAATTTAACATATAATTATTGAATTAATTTGTAAATTAATCTCATTATTATTCGGAAATAATAAAACACTTACTTTGGTGGTGGATGTGGCGTGAAAATAATCTGTGGTCTCGGAGGAGCCCATTCTACAGTACCTCGAAGAGAAATTGATGGACACGAATTGCTCTCTTCAAGTTCATCCAAACTCATTGACCAATTTTTCGGTAACGGTAGCAACTGTAAAATTAAATATTAATCAGAAAAATTATTAATTATTAATATTTAAATATTAAAATTATTAATATTTATTAATAATTATTAATAATGAATTATTAATGAATAATTTTGCTAGATTATTTTTGAATATTCGTTACCTGTTGAGGAGCATCTTGTTCAGACACAAGCCACTTTAGTTCACTTGCCCTGGGCAATTGTTTTTCACTAAACCTACTAATTAGAGATAAGGCAACACCCTCCGCTGATATTATACTATCAGTTAAATTGGATTCCGTTCCATGTCTCGAAGACGATCTGAAATAGTCAATTTCAGAGGACAAAGAAGCTGTTGATTCATACATTCCTGAAACTGAATTTATCCAAATCATTACTGAATTCCAAAAAATTGGAAAATCAAGAAATGTCCTTTTAATCCTTATATTTTTGAAAATGAAAAGAAAGTGAAAAAAAAAATTAATTTCTAAATTAATAGCATACCCGAAGAGGGAGTTATTGCATCGTCTGAAAAAATACTGTCCGATTGAGATTCTGAAGAAGATGACAGAGGACTTACACTTTGATCAGTGGTGGTCGCTAGAAATAAAAAATGGAATTAATAACAAATAACGTTCTCAGGACTCGAACTAGGTACGAAAAGCCCTTAAAGGTCCGTAAATTTGCTTCAAGTCAGTAAAAGTCAGTTTTTTAAAAAAATAGTCAGTAAAATAAAAATTTTTACAGAAATTCAATTATTTACAAATTTTTTTACAAATTTCTTCGCAATAATTCAATTATTTTCATAAATAATAAAATTCTTTTAGTAATTCAATTATTTTTATAAATAATAAAATTCATTGCAGAATTTCAATTATTTTTAATGGAATTTTAATCGAATTCCTTAAAAAATGTAATTGTTCTTAAATAAATTAAAAAATTAAAATAATTAAATTAAAAACTTTAGATAAAAATTCGTCCAAAGAATTTAATTATTTAAAAATTTGTTAATAAATTTTTTTATAAGTATTTAATTTTAAGAAACATTAAATTATCAAATTATTTTTTTTTGCATTTAAATAATTAAATTCTTGTGAAAATTACTAATAAAAATTGTTTTAAAAATGAATTACAATTAAAATTTTAGATTATAATTAATATATTAAAAGCATTATAACGTGAATTTTTAGAAATAATTGAATTTAGAAAAGGTTTCTAATTAAAATAATTGGATTTCTGGATTTTTCATATTTTTAACAAACATTTCTGTATAGAATTAATTCTTTTGAAAAAGTTTAATTGAATTTTTTTAAAAATTATTTCAAGGTTTTATTTTCTAATCTATATTTAATTGAAAAATTTCCGAATAAATTGAAATTTTGTAAAATTGAATTGTAAACAAATGAATTTGAAAATTCTCAAAGCACTTTTTCAAAAATTATTAAAAATAATGGATTTATAGAAGAATTTTTTGTTTAAAACACTAGTAATAATTTAATTTTTGAGAAGTTACAAATTATTGCAGAAATTCAATTATTTTCAAGAGTAATAAAAATTCTTCTTAAGGATTCAATTATTTTTACTAATAATAAAACTCATCGTAGAATTTCAATTATTTTTCAGACAATTTTAATCTCATTTCTCGAAATTCTTAAGAAAAATTAAATAATTTTTATAAATAATCAAATTCTTTGAATGACTTCAATGTAATTTCAATACAATTTTAACAAAATTTCCAAATAGAATTCACAATATATTTTTAAGAAAATTATTTATAAGAATTCAATTACTTTCAGTGACATTTCATTTAAATTCCTCGTAAGAATTTTTCTAAAATTTTAATAAAATTCTTCGATAGAATTCAATTATTTTCAATATATCTACAATTTTAAATAACTTTCTCAAAACAATTCAATTATTATCTAAAATTTTAATAAAATTCTTAGAAAAAATTCAATTATTTTCAATATACCTATCTACAATTTTAATTTAATTTCTCGAAACAATTCAATTATTTTCTAAAGTTTAAATAAAATTATTCGCAAGAATTCAATTATTTTCAAAAATCTTAATAAAAATTAACAAGAATTCAATTATTTATATAAATAAAAAAATTCTTTGCAAAAATTAATTATTTTTAATAAAATTTTAATAAAAATTTTTGAAGGAATTTTATTTTCATAAATTGTAATAAAATTCGATGCAAGAATTCAATTGAGGGCTCGGATCGAAGAACCGACGCTTGTAAACGCACAGAACATTACGAAGCGTCGGTTCTTCGATCCGAGCCCTCAATTATTTATAAATAAATAATAAAATTCTTTGCAGGAATCAATTAGTTTCTATATAATTTTAATAAAATTTCTCGAAACAATTCAATTATTTAAAAATTTGATGATAAAATTCTTTAATAGAATTGAATTTTAAGAAACATTTAAAAATTCAATAAATTCTTTATTTTTGTATTTAAGTAATTGAATTCTAGTAGAATTCTTTAATAAAAATTACTTTTAAAATGAATTTCAGTTAAAATTTTAGATTATAATTGAATATGAAAAGCAATATAGCATGAATTTTTATAAATAATTGAATTTTAAAATGAATTTTTTTAAAAAAGTTTAATTGAATTATTTTTATATTATTTGAAGTTTTTATTTTCTAATATGCATTTAATTGAAGACTTTAGGAATAATTTAAATTTCGTGAAATTGAATATTGTTAATAAATGGATTTGAAAATTGCCAAAGAACTTTTTCGAAAATTATTAAAAATAATTGATCTAAAGTGGAATTTTAGTTAAAAATTTTTGAAAATAATAATTGAATTGAAATAATGAAAATAATTTTGAACAAGTCACAATAACAATATTCTTATAATATAAAATAATTATTTTATCACTCGGTCATCTTTAGTTATTATAAAACATGAAGACATCGATCACTCCGAGTCGAATTACTCCGAACTCGGAGTTATCGATATCTTCATGTTTTATAGTTATGAAAAAATTTAATTTATAGTTTTAAGAAAAATGTTCTCTTATTTGACTCGGATTGGTTATATTTTTGTCAGTAATTGGTCCGTAAAATCCTTATTTTTAAATACTTTCATTGGTTCGAGCCCTGCGTTTCTAATAAAACAAATTGATAATTTGAAAGTTAGTTAAAGAAATTCTATATAGGAAATAAAATCTTACTGTCTGTTTTTCCGTCACTTAGAAGATCTCGTATCCACACTCCAACTTTTCTTTTCTCCTCCTGCCTCTGTCGGCGTCTAAAGCGAATTCTTTGCTTCAAATGATTTATTTCCTCATCACTTTCATCGACATTTTCCTCAAATAAATTTAATTGACGATTACATTTAACTTGCTCAATCGCAGAAATCATAGCTTCTGAAATACTGAAATGGGCATTCTCTCTGTCCAATTCGGCGTTTGCTCTTGAAAATTGTGCCGACGAAAGAAAACTCATAATACTTTGCCCCTCTAATGGTCGTGGAAAATATCCCGTAGCCATTGGTTGAACACTACTGCCTCCATCTTCCATAAAACTTTTTTTCGGCGTCCTAATATCTTTCTGTCCTTCAATCTTTAAACTCCACGGTGTCATAAATTCAGGTCCTGAACCAACTAAAAATGATGATTTTCTTTTTGATGAACTCGATGTTTCAATTTTTACCGAGTCAGTAACAGATGATTCAACACTCGATTGACGATTGAAAGAAAAACTCTCAGTTTGAGCGGATTTTTGATTTTCTTCATAATTTAACGTATCGGAACTTCCGCTATTGTATTTTTTCAACGATATGGGCGAAGAATTTGAAAGATTTTTCGTTTTACTTCGATTTTTTCTTGTAAACATCTTTTGCTTCGATGCTTTTCGCTCTTGTGGTGAAATTGCATCTTTGGCTTCGGAATAATCAATTTTAATCACAGACGATAATTCAACTTTTTGAATAGATTCATTTAATTTCCTCTCGGGTTTTTTTATAATTGCTAAATTTTCCGTTGATGTACTTCTTCCTTCAAATGTGTCGAATTTCTCGCTTAATTCAGGATAGCTACTCCACGTCCTCAAAAGTGATCTTTGTCTGACTTCTTTTTCTATCTCTTCCTCTGTTGGTTGCATTTTTTCGGTGGGAAGATTCTTTTTTAAATTTTGAGGCTTGTTACATTTTCGACAAGCGTGCTCCGTTGTTTTAAATGTTATTTCCTGCAGGCTAGTGCGTAAATTCACTGGATACGATGAAGAGCGTCGATGAAATTTCTTCGGACTGTCCTTACCGCATTTCCAGTTTGGCAAAAACTAAAATAATTTTTTATTAATTGAAATAAACGATTCACAAAATTAAAAAAAATTTCAATTATTACCAAGCAAGGATCAATGTCCGTTAAGAGAGCAGGTTGATTTTTCTCAACAGCCTTTAAGCAAATAAGTGTCGCTTCTGCCAATGTTTCTTGACATAAAAATGCCCAGGGTTCCAGGCAAGAGAGCAAATGTTCCTTATCGGATAAAAGCCACGATAACTTTTGCGACAGCGAATGACTTTCTAAACTGTAAAAAGAAAATTCAATAAAGTACACATTTTTTATTTCACGGTTGCCACAGGTCAGGGAATTCAGGGAAAAGACAGGAATTTTTAGTTACAAGTACTGGAAAAAATAGAATTTTTAAAATTCATGAGAAAACTGAATTTTGATGTTTTTCTTTGTTTGCCTCATAAACTATGAAATTACCACGAATTCTAATACAAAACCTTCAATTATTTCTATTTCTGGAAATAATTTCTTTTTAAATAACTTAATTCTTGAACAACTATCATAAAATTATTGCTTATAAATTATTTAATGAATAATTTTTACAATTTTCATAAATACCAGATTTACAGAAGAATTTTAGTTAAAAATACAAAAAAAAAATTAAATTTTGGAAAAGTTACAAATGATTCCAGAAATTCAATTATATTTTCAAAAATTATAAAAATTCTTTGCAGAAATTCAATTATGTTCGAAAATTTAAAAACAAACTCTCGTCAAAATTTCAATTATCTTTACAAATAATAAAATTCATCTTCGAAATTCAATTATTTGCAAAAATTTTAATAAATTTCTTCGAAATAATTCAATTATTTTCATAGGTAATAAAATTTCTTCAGGATTTCAATTATTTAAAATACAAAATTCGAAAAAATTTTTCAAAAGATATCAATTATTTAAAAAGATTTTTTTAAAATTCGTCGCAAGAATTCAATTATTTAAAAAAAAATTTAACAATGTTCTTTTCAAGAATTCAATTATTTTAATAAATAATAAAATTCTTCACCAAAATTCAATTATTTTTATATAAACTTGAATAAAATTCGCTGCAAGAATTCAATTATTTATATAAATAATAAAATTCTTCACAGAAATTCAGTTATTTTTATAAGGTTGAATAAAATTCGTTGGAAGAATTCAATTATTTTCAAAAGTTATAAAAATTCATTGCAGAAATTCATCTATGTTCAAAAATTAAAAAAAAATTCTTGTCAAAATTTCAAGTATTTTTATAAACAATGATAAAATTTTTCTCCGAAATTCAATTATTTTAGAAAAATTTTAATAAAATTCTTAGGAAAATTTAAGTTATTTTAATAAATAATAAAACTCATCGCAGGAGTTTAATTATTTTTGATACAATTTTAATCGAATTCCTCAAAAAATGTCATTATTCTTAAAAATTTTATTAATATTCGTCAAAAGAATTTAATTATTTACAAATTTTTTATAAATTACTTCTCAATAATTCAATTATTTTTATAAATAAACCAATGTTTACAGGGATTCAATTATTTTCGTTAACAATAAAATTCTTTTTAGGAATTCAATTTTTTTCACAAATAATAAAACTCATCGCAGAATTTCAATTATTTTCACAAATAATAAAACTCATTGCAGAATTTCAATTATTTTTAATACAATTTTAATCAAATTCCTCTAAAAATGCAATTATTCTTAAAAGTTTTATTAAAATTTGTCCAAAGAATTCAATTATTTAAAAATTTTATGATTAAATTCTTTAATAGAATTGGATTTTAAGAAACATTCAATTACTACATAAATTATTTATTTTTGCATTTATAATTGAATTCTAGTAGAATTATGTAAAAAAAATTAAAATTTTATATTATAATTGAATATTAAAAGAATTACGAAACAAATTTTTATAAATAATTGAATTTTGAAAAGTTTTCAAAATAAAAGATTTGAAAATCTGAATTTTTCATATTTTTAACTATAACAATTCAGTGGAATTAATTTTTTGGAAAATAAATAATTGTGCATTTTATTTGAAAATATTTGAAGGTTTTATTTTCTAATATATATTTAATTGAAGAATTTCTGAATAATTGAAATTTTGTTAAATTAAATTGTAAACAAATGAATTTAAAATTCTCCAAGCACTTTTTCAAAAATTATTAAAAATAATGGATTTATGGAAAAATTTTAGTTAAAGACAAAAAAATTTAATTTTAGAGAAGTTACAAATTATTACAGAAATTATTTTCAAAAATAATAAAACTCTTCTTATGGATTCAATTATTTTGATAAATAATGAAACTCACTGTAGAATTTTAATTATTTATAATACAATTTTAATCAAATTCCTCAAAAAATGTAATTATTCTTCAAAATTTTATTAAAATTCGTCCAAAGAATTCAATTACCTTTTTTTAAAATTTATTGATAAAATTCTTTATGTAAATTTAATTTTAACAAACATTCAATTGAGGGGCTGGATGCTATAATGTGTTACGCACCATACTAAGTGAATGGCGCGTAACACATAGCATCCAGCCCCTCAATTATTCAATAATTAATTTTTTATTTTTTAATTTAAATAATTTATTCAATTCTTCTAGGATTTTCTAATTAAAATTGATTTAAAAATGAATTACCGAATAATCGATTTATTATTTATGAAAATAATTGAATACTCTGCAACGAATTTTATTCCTTTTTTTTAAATAATTGAATTTTTTGGAGAAATTTTACTACTTATAAAAATAATTGAATTTTTACAAAGAAGTTTATTAGGTTTTTTGTAAATAATTAACTTTTTTTGAAAAATTTTATGGTAATTCAAATTATCACAAAACATGAAGAAGGCAATCACTCCGAGTCGAAGACTCGGAGTAATTGATATCTTCATGTTTTATAATAATATTCTTATAAGTTGTTGAATTTCAAAAAGGTTTGAATTTGAATATTTTGAAGAATTTTAATTCTTATGGAAAAATAATAATAAATGATTAAATATTTATTAAAAAAAGAAGTTACTGATGTTTTCGAATAATTTTACAATTTTAGAAATTTGTAAATAAATCTAATACAATATTTTTTTGAGTATCTAATATTTTTTAGAGTGAATCAGAATATTTTTTAGGGTTCAAGGAAAAAGTACAAATTTTGTCTGGAAATCAGGGAAAAATTAAAATTAAATATTTATGGCAACCTTGTATTCGTATCTTGAAAATTTAATTAATTTAAATACCTTGTATAGAGCCACAACATATCTTTACGAGAAGCAATTCTATTTGGTAAATTTGTAAAATAATCGTCGCATTCACGAATAATTGGTGATGTAGCTAATGACGGTTGTAGCCAGTTCAGTCCCTGAATAAAAATCCAACAATCTGGCTCACCCTGAAAAATAATATTGTATATTTAACTCGCAATTCTTTTTGGATTAATAAAAGAAGTTAAATGTCAGGGTTTCCAATCTTCATCTTTTGTATAAATACTAATTAAAATTGCAATCTCATTATACAAATGCAAAATAACAAAAGACGCTTATAACAAATCATTTGCATTGCTCAATTCTTAATAATTACATTTAAACACATGTCTAGACCAAAATGTGTAAGTTGCAAATATTAGATAATAGAAAACACAATGCACCGGAAGATAAGATAAACTTATATATGTCTCACTGATGAAGAATGCTCCATATATATAATTATACTCACAGTAGGATCAAAAATTCTGCATCCATGTTTAAATATTTGTTCCATTATATTGTGTAATCGATTAAGTCCTCCATAAACATTCCACACATTTGACAGTCCATTATTTAATAATCCTTCTACAGTCGATCTGAGATTTTGGAGAAGTTGCCACTGCTCCTTAACTCTAATATCTTCGCCCATTCTTTGCAAAATCTGATAAAAATAAAATGTGGAAAAAATATGAGGAAACAATATTATTAGTATGAGGAAATTTAAACAATAAATGAGGAAAACACTTGACAATAAACATATAATAAATATGTCAAATAAGTATCAAATTGTATTAATTGTAAAGGTTATATTTATAGTGTATGACATAATTGGATTGTAAAACATGTGACAATGTGCAATAATAGCTGAGAAATAACAATTATTCGTACCTTTCTTTGAAATTCGATTATAAACAAATAATTACTGAAGAATCATACTGAAACAGCTGATTGAAAGAACTGTCATTCATTGTTGTTATCTATTTACTAGTAATTGAACCAATTGAACATATTGCATTATCTATGTATGTCATAAAGAATGTTACACGTACATGCACTCATGGCAAAAGATACACTTAATAATTAGAATTTAGCACAGTTTACGCCCATGAGTAATGTAGCTTTGCAATTATTTATCACTGCGAGTAGTGAGTAATTAGCAGATTTTTATTTATATTGTATATATATATATATATATATAACAATATGAGAACGTGTCTTCTCATATGTGACGTTTCGACCAATCAAAATCAATCAATGCCGGAAGTCATCCAATCAATAAAAGCAAAAAATAAAAACTAGTCCAAAAATTCAAAAACATTGTTTAAAAATTAGAAAAATTAAAATTTATCAAAATATACTAGATATTAAAAACCTTAGATTTTGATTATTAAAATTAATAATTTCATTTCTCATATCAATTGTGTGTCAATTGTCAAAACTTGAATTACAATTTTTGAGGTTATGTGCGCACAGCTGACAATTAACCAATCAGAGCCAGGCACTTTTATTTGGGTTCCAGTGCTAACTTCATGCAGATGTGATTTTTAGTTAAAAATGGTTGGGATGGGCAGATTGGAATGGGATTTTAATAATTTCAGATAGTTTCTGTAGTTTTATTTATAGACACACTTCCAAGTATATAATTATCCTGTATAGTTAATCATTAACAAGCCGATCATTAAATACCAGTATTATCCAGTACAATAAAGAAATTCACAGAGAAAAACATTGTTGCTATTAATAATATTTATATACATAGTGTTTACAATCAAATTTTATTATATTAGTGCGTTAATTAATGATATATTATACGATAAGGATACTAAAAATTATAATGACACTTAAACAAATGCCTTGAGGAGTTTTCAATATCTGGCTCAGCAAAGCAAAAGGTACTTTATTTTACATACCAAACTGACATTTATTTCGAAATTAAACCTTGACTGATCCATTTTTCATCTGTATATCATGAAAAACACCTACTTACATTCTTTTATTATTTTTACAGTTTTTTTTTATTGCACGAATTCACTATGTCTAAGTCAGATCCACTAAAATTGGTGACAGCATTGTTTTCTTTCAAAGGACGAAACAACGATGAGGTAGAATTTCTTTATTTATTAAGCATAAATTAATATTATTGGATTCGTATTAAAATTCAGAGTTGTAAATTTGTTTATTGATTTTTTTTAGCTGTGCTTTAAGAAAGGAGATATTATAACGATAACACAGACTGACGATGGAGGCTGGTGGGAAGGAACTTTATACGAAAAGACTGGATGGTTTCCTTCGAATTATGTTAAAGAGTACAGAATACCAGGTGCGTTTATTAACTTTTCTATTTATTTATATCTCTATTTAGAATAGTTTACAATTTACAATAGATTTTTTTGTTTCCATTGCAAAGAATCAACATTATCTTTTTTTTAGAATCCGGACATACCACCGTAAATCTCTCGCCTGAAAAATCTCCTCCCGAATTACCTGTTCATCAGAAACTTAATCGTGATATAGTATTAAAAGATATTATTGATTCGGAGAGGGCAAATGTTGCTGAACTTCAGAATTTGGTTACAAACTTTTTACAACCTCTCGAATCGTCAAATATGTAAGAAATGGAAAAGTTTATTATGATTATTAAACGTCATGGCATAATTTATCTACATTTCAGGACTCGAACTAGGTCCGTAAATTTGCATCAAGTTCGTAAAAGTCAGTTTTTTTGAAAAAAGGTCCATAAAGTCCGTTAATTTGAATGAAAAAGGACAAAAAGTTCGTAAATTGTACGATATAATATGGAGAATTTTAGATAAATTACAAATGATTGCAGAAATTCAATTATTTTTAAAAGTAATAAAATTCTTCGCAGAAATTCAATTATGTTTAAATTTTTTTTTAAATTCTCGTCAAAATTTCAATTATCTTTATAAATGTAATAAAATTCTTCTCCGAAATTCAATTATTTTCAAAAATTTTAATAAAATTCTTTTAATAAATTTTTTTTAATAAAATTTTTATCAAAATTTCAATTAATTTCAAAAATATTCTTCAATCTTTTTAAGAATTGAATTATTTTTACAAACAATAAAACTCATTGTAGAATTTCAATTATTTTTTAGACAATTTTAATCGCATTTCTCGAAATTCTTAAGAAAAATTAAATAATTTTTATAAATAATAAAATTCTTTGCATGATTTCAATTAATTTTAATACAATTTTAACAAAATTTCTAAAAAGAATTCACACTGAATTTTTAAAAATTTAAAGAAAATTATTTATAAAAATTCAATTACTTTCAGTGAATTTGAAAATCCTCAAAGCATTTTTTAAAAAATTATTAAAAATAATAGATTTATGGAAAAATTTTAGTTAAAAACAAAAAAAAATTTAATTTTCGAGAAGTTACAAAATTATTGCAGAAATTATTTTTAAAAAAAATAAAATTCTTCTTAGAAATTCAATTATTTTCATAAATAATATACCTCATTGTAGAATTTCAATTATTTTTAATACAATTTTAATCAAGTTTTTTGAAAAATGTAATTATTCTTAAAAATTTTATTAAAATTCGTCCATAGAATTTACTTAAAAATTTGTTGAAGAAATTCTTTATGAGAATTGAATTTTAAGAAATATTTAAAAATTCAATAAATTATTTATTTTTGTATTTAAATAATTGAATTTTAGTAGAATTTTCTAATAAAAATTGATTTTCATTTCATAAAAATGAATTTCAGTTCAAATTTGAGATAATAATTGAATATAAAAAGCAATATAGCCTGAATTTTTATAAATAATTGAATTTTAAAATGAATTTTTTTGAAAAAGTTTAATTGAATTATTTTTATGGGTCAAAATAAGTGAAACCGGCCACTTGAAAAATTTTTATCTCCAATTTTCAAGTTATCTATGATTTTTAGTAGATATATGAGTACACTTTTTCCCCCTAAAATATTTTTCAAAAAAAATTTTTATTTTTGAAGTAATTAGGTATTGAAGTTTTAGATCATTTTATTTTCATTTTATTATTACTTTGAAACAAATAAAGATAATTAAGTAATTTTTTTTTTAAATTAAAGCTTAAAGTCTATACTTTAAAGATGAAATAAAGCGATTGCTAAAAAATGAAAATTTATAATTGTTATTAACAATTCTTTTAAACAATTGCAAATTGAAGAATGTTCTCAATGTTTTTGAAAGATTAAATTACGATATATTGATGCGCAAAACTATAAGGATTCATTTAAAAAAAAGAAAAATGAGTAACCTCCAATATTATAGAAATTATGTAAATTTTTCTGACAAAATGCAGGCGAAAATTGACTCAAGTTCCTGGAAAAAGATAAAATTGTAAACGAATAAATAAGATCTTCTTTTGTTTTGTTGGAAACTTCACGCTTTCAAGCGGATTTTTAAGATTAAAAGTCGATTTTCGCCTGCATTTTGGCAGAAAAATCTACACAATTTCTATAATATTGGAGGTTACTCATTTTTCTTTTTTTTAAATGAATCCTTATAGTTTTGCGCATCAATATATCGTAATTTAATCTTTCAAAAACATTGAGAACATTCTTCAATTTGCAATTGTTTAAAAGAATTGTTAATAACAATTATAAATTTTCATTTTTTAGCAATCGCTTTATTTCATCTTTAAAGTATAGACTTTAAGCTTTAATTTAAAAAAAAATTACTTAATTATCTTTATTTGTTTCAAAGTAATAATAAAATGAAAATAAAATGACCTAAAACTTCAATACCTGATTACTTCAAAAATAAAATTTTTTTTTTGAAAATATTTTAGGGGGAAAAAGTGTACTCATATATCTACTAAAAATCATAGATAACTTGAAAATTGGAGATAAAAATTTTTCAAGTGGCCGGTTTCACTTATTTTGACCCTTATATTATTTGAAGTTTTTATTTTCTAATATATATTTAATGAAAGAATTTACTAGTAATTGAAATTTCGTAAAATTGAATTGTAAACAAATGGATTTGAAAACTGTTAAATAACTTTTTCGAAAATTATTAAAAATAGTTGATTTAAAGAAGAATTTTAGTTAAAAATTTTGGAAACAATAATTGATTTGAAGTGATGAAAGTTATTTTGAATAAGTAATAGTAACAATATTCTTATAATATAAAATAATGATTTTATCACTCGGTTACCTTTAATTATTATAAAACATAAAGAAATCGATTACTCCGAGTCGAAGAGTCGGAGTTATCGATATCTTCATGTTTTATAGATAAAAAATTTAATTTACAGTTTTAAGTAAAATGTTCTCTTATTTGACTCGAACTGGTTATATTTTTGTCAGTAATTGGTCCGTAATTTTTTATTTTTGGTCCGTAAAGTCCGTATTTTTAAATACTATCACTGGTTCGAGCCCTGATATTTAGTTTGCACTGAAATTTCCTTTTGCTATTTCTACAATCTGTGTAATAATAAAAATATCTGATTCCCTTTAGATTAAAAAAAGAAGAATATAAACAATTAATTGGAAATATACAAGACGTTCTAGAAACTCATCAACGTCTTTTGTCAAATTTAGATAGTGCACTGTTACAAGATTCTGATGCAAGAGTTGGAAATTTATTTCTGAATCTTGCTCCTCGTTTAAAATCAATACATTCTATTTATTGCACTTGTCATCCTCAAGCGGTTTGCATATTAGACCGTTATAGGTAACACATTAATTGATTTTTAAACTTCCACTTTTTTTATTTATGTTTTTTAGAGTTATTTTTACAATTTCTTTTTCTACAACTTCTCTTCATTTTTTATAGGGACGAATTAAATGAATTTATGGAACGCAATGGTGCTATAACTCCCGGAATATTAGTTTTAACGACAGGTTTAAGTAAACCATTTCGAAGACTGGATAAATACTCTGCCATGCTTCAGGAACTAGAGAGGCACACTGAAAAAAATCATCCTGACAGAGGCGATACTCAACGAAGTGTTTGCGTTTATCGGGAAATTGCTGTAAGTTTCAAAAAATAATTTAAGTATAAAATTTGATAATAATAAGACCTTCTCATTTTTTATGAGAATGTAAAAATTTTAATTCGAATCAAATTAATTTGTGTCGATTTAATTATATTTAGGAGCAATGTGGATTAATGCGCAAACAAAGAGAACTTGCCCTGCAAATTTTAACGAGCGGAATTAAAGGTTGGGAAGGAGAGGAACTGAATTCATTGGGTGATATTTTACATGTTGGTCCAGTAACAATAATAATGGGCGCTGAACGACGAGATAGATATTTTGTCCTTTTTCCTACGACTTTACTCGTTCTTAGTACGAGTTCAAGAATGAGTTCTTTTGTTTACGAGGTATTTCTCTTCTATATTCTCTCACTAATTAACAATATTTTGAAAACGTAAATTATTATTACAATGTTTTTTCTCTTGTTTAACAGGGGAAACTTCCATTGACCGGCATAAATGCTGTTTTAATAGAAAGCACAGACGATTTGAAAAATGCGTTTGAAATATCTGGTAATAATTTTGTATTATTAATTACTAGCAAAAAGAACAATTTAAGGAAGAATCCGACAAACAATCGGAACATAAGTTAGTCCAATGTCATATTTTTATATTTTATATGAAAAAGAAAAATTAAATTATAAATTAAAAAATTTAATTTTCACCTTTGTAAACAATTAAAAGTTGCAACTGAATAAAAATTACAATTTTCTATTAATCAGAATCGATTTAGGTAACACAACATAAAATTTAACAAATATTTCTTCTTGACAAAAAAATTATAATTTTTATTTATATATGCAACTTTTAATTACTTAAAAGAGTAAAAATTAAATTTCTTTCCCTTACACTAAAACAAATTAACAAATTTTTTTACGTCAGATTCTTCCTTAAATGCCAAAAATACTAAATACCAAAAAAAAGATTTAAATTAAAAAGTTAGTTAAATTAAAAACAGCAAAATTGAATGCTTTTTACTTTAAATAAACATTTCAAAAATTTAGTATAGGTATAATTCTAGATAATAATTGAATTTTGAAGAATAATAGTCGTAATTTGTGGAAATAATTAAATTTTAGAAGATTTGAAATTGTTACATTTAAAAATTTTAATTCAAACTTTTAGAAAATTCATGTTTTAGTTCAATTTTTGAATTCACATTTTATTGAAAAATTTTTGAATAATCAAAATATCAGAAAATTCTTAAAATTAATAAAAATAATTAATTTAGAGAAAATTTTAGAAAATTATTGAGTTCCGGAAGAATTACAGTTGTAATTTTTAAAAATGATTAAATTTCAGAAGATTTGAAATCGTCATATTTAAAAACTAGCTGTCGTACCCGTCTTCGACGGATTTTAGTTTCTACCAATACATTTAACAGTGTTTCTACCTGTTTCTATCTGGAAAATCAGGAAATAGTCGGGAATTTAATTTGACAGGCAAAAAATAAAAATTAGTTACCATTAGCTATTTCGGTAGGAAAATGTTACTATTTGAAGAGTCTCCACCCTTTGATAAAAAATAAAAAATTATCAAAAATTATCGGAAATTCGAAAAACCGAATTTCTTAAAATTTAACATTTTTTCTTCTCTTTTCTGGCATTTAGCTTTATTATTTTTTAGCTCTTGAAAAATACTTTACTTATTTAATAGTCTCCACTCTTTGGTAAAAAATCTAAAATTATCAAAAATTCAAAAAACCGAATTTCTTCAAATTCAACATTTTTTCTTCTCTTTTATGGCATTTAGCTTCATTATTTTTGGGCTCTTCAAAAACACTTTACTTATTTAATAGTCTCCACGCTTTGGTAAAAAATCTAAAATTATCAAAAATTCGAAAAACCGAATTTCTTAAAATTCAACAATTTTTCTTCTCTTTTATGGCATTTAGCTTCACTATTTTTGGGCTCTTCAAAAACACTTTACTTATTTAATAGTCTCCACCTTTTGGTGCTAAAAAATTATTATTTGAAAATCATTGAATTTCAATTGTTAAAACCTAAAAAAACAAATTAAAAGCAGACGCAAAAATGACTAATTTTAGGAGTGGACGACGATTATGATACCTATGTGAAATTTTATTTTGTAAAATTTATAAAATTCGAATTTTTCTAGGTCCAATGATCGAGAATATAACCGTATTATGCACGCATAAAGAGGACAGACAACAATGGATCGATCTTCTATCACAAGAGCAGGGCCTTGGTATTTTGAGATCTCCAACAGTGATGCCCCATGTGAGTTGTTCTCATCCTCCGTTCACACGGCTTTCCCGTTATTATGCCAGACTCGTAAGAAAAAAGATAATTCATCCCGAATTAATGAAGAAACTTCTTTATCTTCAATATATTTATAAACCCAATTTGGCAAATGTTAGAATGAGAAAATGCACCGTAACGTACAATATATTTCCAACAAATAGTCAAGATTTAACGTCAGAAACAAGTTCCCTTGATTCCGATTGTGAAAAGCAAATTGAAAAAAAGAAACGACCCTTGCACAAATCCACATTATTACTTGACGTTCGATATGGTTTTGAGAATACACCACAAGATGCTCAAAAATTACAAATCCCTCCGTCTAGTTCTAGTTTACTTGCTGTGATGAATACAAAAATAGCCGACGATCGTTATTCTCTCGAGGCGAGTAAAAGTTTACCGGCAACTGTCACATCATCGCAATGTTTCACTTCAAATCTCGATGTAACACACAATTTTATGTGCAATGAAAATTTAAATGAAACAATTGATCTACGATTTGGTGAGGAGAATTTGAAAAATTGGAAATCATTGAATCAAAGTCAGAGAAATTTGGAAGAATTAACACCCGATGATTTACCGAAATCATTCAATGAAATAGCTTCGAATTCACAATTCATTCCAACGACAAGTTTATGGTCTTCAGATTCAGGAATGGCTGATAGTTGTCATTTTAATTCATCTGAAATGAATTCGTGTTATAAATCGTATTCAACTGGTCGAGGAGGAAAACAACGAACATCGCACAGTGAGAGTGAAAATGATGAGAATAAATTTGAATATCAGTGTATTTGTAGTTCGCCATTTGGTTCAACACCCCGTGAGAGTGAACAATTCTCCGACCTTAATACATTTGTATCAAGATGGGGTGTTGGTGAATCGAGTGTAAATAGCAATGTAGAAACTGAAATAGACTTTGATAATTCGAGTAGAAAATCAAATGACTCTGCGAGATTAGAAGAGAATGCTGAAGAATTTTCTCATATTGCTCTCATTGATGACAATGATGATGAAGATGATGATGATGACGATCATGATAATGATAATGATAATGATGTGTATCGAAAACGTTACTCGCAACCAATTCCATGCTCACATCAGAATATTATCAAGAAAGTTCACAGAAACGAAGCTCGAGAGAAACAAGAAAGTGTTAATCATCCTCAGGGAAAACGAGTATACACTTCAGGACTGTACGCACATTGGTGGCTCAAGAAAGCGATTCCATTATCCGAGACTACGGATGAAGGCAAGCTTCCATAGCATGGCTGTTGTTTTACTTTTTTTCATTGAATCAATAACATGGCCTATTTCGCTACTAATTATATTTTATTCTCATTCTTAATATTTACAAAAAAAATATTTATTCATACATTTTTATATTAAAAATAGAATTCAATTTTTTTTCCAATTTCATTCTTTTCTCATTGTCATAAATATTGCTTTTCTATTTCACAGCCATGTTGTGGGAAGTACGCTTTTGCTTTGTCCATTTATTACTAACAATATTATATCAATATTTATTTACTTTACTTCATCGAAAACCCTTTTTATCGGAGTTTGAATGTGGATAATGTTTTTTCTTTTTCTCATTATTAGATATTTTTGCTTTCTAGAAGTGTAGGAGTCTTGATTTAGAATCTTTATTCTTTTAAATGAAAAATTTGTCATTTTTTCGTAGATAGGATGTTTTTTCTTCTTATTGTTAATGTTTAAGATTATTATTTATTTGAAATTTTTCGATAATAGAGTAATTATTTTATTTATTCTTTCTCATGATAGGCAACGAAGATAATCAACGAGAAACAACAACAACAACAACAGCAAATTGTGGAAATTGGTCAATCTCTAAGTACTAAAACACCTTGGAGTCTCACTTCATTAAGACCAGCTCCACCTATTTATACAATTAAGCCTTTTGGAAAATCTGACTCATCCGAGAACAGTTGGTCAACGAAATTGTGCAGTATGTATTTTTTTTGTTTCTTCAAAAAATTTTATTCATTAGTTAATTATTAATTATTGTTGATGAATATAATATTTTCAAATCTTTAAAAAGAATTTTTGAAATTAAATAATTTAATTATATTAAACAATTTTAATAATACTTCGCAAGAATTCAACTCTGTTTTTAAATAATAAAATTCTTCGCAGCAATTTAATTCAATTAATTTCAATGAAATTTTAACAAAATTTTTAAACAGAATTCAGAATATATTTTCTAAAATTTTTAAAAATCATTCGTAGGAATTCAATTATTTTTATAAATAGTAAAACTCTTTCCAGGAATTCAATTATTTTCAAATCAATTTTAATTAAAATTCTCAGAAGAATTCGATTACAAAAAAATTTTAATACATTTCGAATAAATTCAATTATTTTCTAAAATCTTCAAGAAATCCATCGAAACAATTGAATTATTTTTATAAATAGTGCAATTCTTCGCAAGAATTCAATTATTTTTATAAATAGTAAATGTCTTTGCTGGAATTCAATTATTTTTATAAATAGTAAAATTATTTGCTGGAATTCAATTATTTTTAAAACAATTTTAATTGAATTCTTTGGAAGAATTCAAATATTTTTAAATATTTCCATAAAATTCAATTATTTCCTAAAATTTTAATAAATTCTTTGAAACAATTCAACTATTTTTATAAATATTAAATTCTTTGTAGGAATTAAATTATTTTTAATCCAATTTATATAAAATTGCACGAAAGAATTTAATTATTTTCAAATAATTATAAGAATCTTAAATAAATAAATATTTTTATTAGGTATATATTCAATTTCAACAAGAATTTAAAATTCTCTAAAAATAATTTAATTATTCTCAAAATATTAAAAAAAATTCTATATGAAAATTAAATTACTTTCAATGCAATTTTTAAATAGGTATATTCATCAAAAAAATTAAAGGAATTCAGTTATTTTCAAAAAATAATAAAATTCTTCTGATGAATTCAATTATTTTGAATATACTTAATTTTAATATAATTCTTTACAGAAATTCAATTATTTTCAAAACAATAAGTTTAATTGAAGTTCTCAAAAAAATTTAATTATTTTCAAATATTTCTATACAATTCTTCAAAACAATTCAATTATTTCCTAAAATTATAATAAATTCTTTAAAACATTTCAATTATTTTTATAAATAGTAAAATTCTTCGCAATAATTCAATTATTTTTATAAATATTAAAATTCTTTGCAGAAATTCAATTATTTTCTAAAGTTTTAATAAAATTCTTTGCAAAAATTCAATTATTTTCGAAAATCTTAATAAAACTCTTAACAAGAATTCAATCATTTATATGTACAAAGAAATTCTTTGCAGAAATTCAATTTTTTTCAATAAAATTTTTCTGAAGAATTTAATTAATTAATTAATTAATTAATAAATTAATTTTAAAACTTTTTTAATAAAATTCTTCGTCATAATTTAATTATTTTAAAAATTTTTAATAATACTCTTGACAAGAATTCAATTATTTATATGAACAAAGAAATTCTTTGCAGAAATTCAATTATTTTCAATCAAATTTTTCTGAAGAATTTAATTACTTTTTTAAACGTTTTTAATAAAATTCTTTGATATAATTTAATTATTTTCAAAAATTTTAATAAAACTCTTCAGAAGAATTCAATTATTTATATAAATAATAAAATTCTTTGCAGAAATCAATTACTTTCTATATAATTTTAATAAAATTTTTCGAAACAATTATTTTAATTATTTTCAAATATTTTGATGAAACTCTTGAGAAAAATTTAATTTATTTTTATATTGAATAAAATTCTTGCAGGAATTCAATTATTTTCAATTCAATTTTAATAGAATTCTTCGAAACAATTCAATTATTTTCAAAAAAATTAAATTCTATACAAGAATTAATTTATTTCTGATTATAAATTGTCCAAGTTTCAGAAATTTTAACATCTTTTTAACAAAAATCTTTTCTTTTAAAATTACAAATAAATTCACTTTTTAATACAAAATTATGAAAAATAAAATAATTTCTCAATTTTTCTTGCACACATAGTATCAATTTTATTAATTAGAATTTTATTAATAGATAGAATTTTATTGATTTTATAATTCAAAACATTTAAAAAGAAAAATTATGAAAAAAAATTGAAAAATTAGAAACTTAACAAAAACAACTAATTTAAACTGCGAAAATATATTCGGAATAAAGCGATTATTAATATATTGTTTAAATTAATTTATTCTAGACGAACGGCAGTTTGAGGATGATGCAACTATTTTAAAAGTAATTGAAGGCTATTGTTTTACAGTAAACACCAGGTTTACTGTTCACTCTGGTAAGTATTTGTTTTTAAATAAAGAAAAAAAACTGCTTGTTGTGTGAGTAGCACTGTGAATCGATAAAAAAAAATAACAAAATTATATTTTAACAATTTTTGACAAATTTAACTGTTCTTTAAAACAATAATTTCTCAAAAAAGAATCTAAAAAAAATTTTAATTGTAAATAACAAATTAATTTAATTTTTATTAATTATTAATAATTCCTAATCATATGTAACTAATATAATTGTTAATTGTAGATATTTGTGTATTTCTCGTTTTGTACAGTTGTTGCAGCATGAAATAATCCGAGTGTGTTTCTTTTTCGTTTTATTTTGTGGTTTTCATTTTAAATAAGTTTTAACACTTTTTGATTAAAAAAAAAATAACTTTGTGTCATTTCAGCTTAATTAATTTCAGCAAGATTAACGCTAGCTTCAAATTTTGATTCTTTTCTTTCATCAGGATTATTTCCTGTGCGACTTCAGAATTAGCTCAGGCAACTTTTCTTCTTAGAAAGAAGATATAGATATTCATTTGCTGTCACTAGTTCATTAGCTATAGAGAAATATTTTTATCATCATTCTGTAAAAAAGAAAACAAAGAAAAAAAGCACAAGGCTCACACGATCAGCGCAATTCTCCTAAATCGAGCAACTATTGCAAGTAACATTGTTTTAATGGCTCGGTAGAAATAAATTTTGATTTATAAATAACGGTCATATGAATTTCAGCTATGTTGGATTATGACCCACTTCATAATGTTCGCGATAGAGTATCCTTTATGAATAGTAAACTTGGAGATGGAGATTCACGAGAAGACAGGTACGTAAATAATTTCTTCTCTTCGAGATGAAATTTATTATCAAATACACAAGTGGACCAAATATAAAGAACAAGAGAAATTTCTTCTTTAAGAAAAAAAGCTAATTCTGAAGTCGATTATGACTCGTATTTGAAATATTTAAATTAATTTTTCTCTTTCCTTTAAAAAAAAAAAATAGGAGCTTATCGAAAACTATTGCGACCCTGAAACATCAAATGGTGGATTTGCAGTGGCAAATATCGCAACTTACTTTACAATTGGAGGAAGAAAGAAGATCACGACTCTCGTTGGCTGCAACCGTTCAACGCAGCATTGCTGTTATTGATACTCCCGTACCTTAAGGTAGTGTCGATTTTTAAGATTTATAAATAATTCACTAACGTCTTTCCACAAAGAAAAAAAAACGATAAATATTGTAATTGTTTTCAATTGTCTTTACCGAAAAGAGAGAGAAATTTCAAACTTTTTAGATACGCACACATGTATGTATACACTGTTGTTAAAAAGTTGCCTTTTTATGGGAATGTTTTTGTAAAATAGTATATAATAAATAAATCTTTTAAGTTTGATTAATAATCATTGTTATTTTTAATTCATTACAGTCCCTTTTTTTATAAGTTTAGTAAGTAATTATCTTTTCTTTTTGTTGTGAATTATATTTTTAATAGCCTAAAATTTAAAATTCCATATCAATATTTGATGTCTCCATACATACTTGTTGAAATTCTTGATTTGAAATCAATGATTGCGGATGATTTGTTGACCATTGCACTTGAGAAAAATTTGTATTATTCTCGAAAATCGAGTCTGTAAAGTGAGTTGATGAAGTTTGACACTACGAAGCAGCATTTATTGGAGGTTGTTGCATCGAATTTGCTGGCATCATTTGAGTTTGATTAGTTCTCATTGATGATCTTCCTTGATTATGCTTATTTCGCATTCTTTCGAGTTCATTTACACGACTTCGAACGTGCTCAAGTCTGTGCCAAGCCATTTGCAATACTTTTTGACTCGCATAACCAGAACCCTCGTGAGGTTGACCTTTAAAACAATATTCATTTTATTTGTTACCAGTTCAATTTATTTGTTAAATATGTTAAATTGTTAAATATGTTCAATTTATTTGTTAATTTTATGTAACCAGTCCGAGTCACGAATTTTTAACTAAAATTCTTCTTTAAATCAATTATTTTTTAATAATTTTCGAAAAAGCTCTTTGACAATTTTCAAATCCATTTGTTTACAAAATTCAATTTTACGAAATTTCGATCATTTGGAAATTCTTCAATTAAATATATATTAGAAAATAAAAACTCCAAATAATATAAAAACAATTCAATTAAACTTTTTCAAAAAAATTAATTTCCAAATTCAATTATTTCTAAAAGTTCACGCTATAATGCTGTTAATATTCAACTAGCAAATGTTACGCGCGCTAGCACGCGAAACGTGATATGTATTCGGTTTATTATTATTATGCAAATTACAAATTTTTTTATTTTTAAATATGAATTTTTGAATAATTTCAGACTCAAACTTTAAAAAAAATTGAATTATTAACTAATTTACTAATTAAATATTATTTGTTCAACAATTTAAAAAATTTTAATAAAATTCTTCTCAAGAATTCAATTATTTAGATAAATAGTAACATTCTTCGTAAGAATTCAATTATATTCAAACAACATTTCTTTTGCATTGCTTATTTTATAAAGCCATTTTAAATTAAATACTTTTTAAAGAAATAATAATTATTACACACTGAAAAAAGTTTTACTTGAAATAGCGATAAGTTTCTCTAGAATAACGAAAGTATTAATTAAAGCACTGAAAAATTTCGCTACTAAAGTGAAATCTGTAGTTTATCCAGCTAAATATTTTTTGCCGTGCAAAACGAAAAAAGAATTAAATTAACATCAGATTTTCTCCATTCAAAAAAAAGAATTCAAATAGAAATTAATCATTTTAAAACTTAACCAAATTCACCCCAGAAATCACTGAATTCGATAATTTAGAAGAAAGTCAGACAAAAGCAGGGTTCCTACAGAATCTGGAAATCATGGAAATGGTATGGAATTTTTAAAAGGCTTCTGGAAATCAGGGAAATCATGGAAAAGGCCTGAAATTTTTAAAAGTTTCTAAATTTTTTCAGTTTTCCATTTTTTCTCTTGAATAAAAATTCAAATAATAATAAAGATAAATGGCATAAATGAGAAGAAAAAATGTTAAATTTTAAGAAATTCGATTTTTCGGATTTTTGATAATTTTTAATAATTTTTGATTTTTTTCCAAAGAGTCGAGACAATTTAATAAGTATTTTCCAAAAGCACAAAAATAATGAAGCTAAATTCCATAAAAGAGAAGAAAAAATGTTGAATTTTAAGAAAATCGGATTTTTGAATTTTTTCGAATTTTCATTAATTTTAGATTTTTTACCAAAGAGTCGAGACAATTTAATAAGTAAAGTATTTTCCAAAAGCACAAAAATAATGAAGCTAAATTCCATAAAAGAGAAGAAAAAATGTTGAATTTTAAGAAAATCGGATTTTTGAATTTTTGATAATTTTCGATAATCTTAGATTTTTTACCAAAGAGTCGAGACAATTAAATAAGTAAAGTATTTTCCAAAAGCACAAAAATAATTAAGCTAAATCCCATAAAAGAGAGGAAAAAATGTTGAATTTTAAGAAATTCGGATTTTTTAATTTTTGATATTTTTCGATAATTTTAGATTTTTTACCAAAGAGTCGAGACAAATTAATAAGTAAAGTTTTTTCTAAAAGCACAAAAATAATGAAGCTAAATCCTATATAAGAGAGGAAAAAATGTTGAATTTTAAGAAATTCGGATTTTTGATAATTTTCGATAATTTTAGATTTTTTATCAAAGAGTCGAGACAAATTAATAAGTAAAGTTTTTTCTAAAAGCACAAAAATAATGAAGCTAAATCCTATATAAGAGAGGAAAAAATGTTGAATTTTAAGAAATTCGGATTTTTGAATTTTTCATAATTTTCATTAATTTTAGATTTTTTACCAAAGAGTTGAGAGAATTTAATAAGTAAAGTATTTTCCAAAAGCACAAAAATAATGAAGCTAAATTCCATAAAAGAGAAGAAAAAATGTTGAATTTTAAGAAATTCGGATTTTTGAATTTTTCATAATTTTCGATAATTTTAGATTTTTTACCAAAGAGTTGAGACAATTTAATAAGTAAAGTTTTTTCCAAAAGCACAAAAATAATGAAGCTAAATTCCATAAAAGAGAAGAAAAAATGTTGAATTTTAAGAAAATCGGATTTTTGAATTTTTGATAATTTTCGATAATCTTAGATTTTTTACCAAAGAGTCGAGACAATTAAATAAGTAAAGTATTTTCCAAAAGCACAAAAATAATTAAGCTAAATCCCATAAAAGAGAGGAAAAAATGTTGAATTTTAAGAAATTCGGATTTTTTAATTTTTGATATTTTTCGATAATTTTAGATTTTTTACCAAAGAGTCGAGACAAATTAATAAGTAAAGTTTTTTCTAAAAGCACAAAAATAATGAAGCTAAATCCTATATAAGAGAGGAAAAAATGTTGAATTTTAAGAAATTCGGATTTTTGATAATTTTCGATAATTTTAGATTTTTTACCAAAGAGTCGAGACAAATTAATAAGTAAAGTTTTTTCTAAAAGCACAAAAATAATGAAGCTAAATCCTATATAAGAGAGGAAAAAATGTTGAATTTTAAGAAATTCGGATTTTTGATAATTTTCGATAATTTTAGATTTTTTATCAAAGAGTCGAGACAAATTAATAAGTAAAGTTTTTTCTAAAAGCACAAAAATAATGAAGCTAAATCCTATATAAGAGAGGAAAAAATGTTGAATTTTAAGAAATTCGTATTTTTGAATTTTTCATAATTTTCGATAATTTTAGATTTTTTACCAAAGAGTTGAGACAATTTAATAAGTAAAGTTTTTTCCAAAAGCACAAAAATAATTAAGCTAAATCCCATAAAAGAGAGGAAAAAATGTTGAATTTTAAGAAATTCGGATTTTTGAATTTTTGATAATTTTCGATAATTTTAGATTTTTTACCAAAGAGTCGAGACAATTTAATAAGTAAAGTATTTTCCACATTTAAAAGTTTGACATTAAAAAATATATAATATAAAAAATGCCAATACTTAACCCACAAAATTTAATTTTCAAAACAAACAAATGAATGCAGATAATTTGCTAACGGAAAGGAAGCTTACGATTATTATAATGTATAGTAAAATTCTTTACAAAAATTGAATTATTTTTTAATCTTGTAATAAATTCTTTGAAACAATTCAATAATTTAATTTTTTCAAAAATGCAATTATTTACAAATACTCTAATAAATGGTTTAAAAGAATTTAATTATCTATGAATAATTTTAATATAATTTAATAGGACAATTATTGATTACAATTAATAAAATAAAATCTTCATAATTACTTTTAAAATTTTCAGTAAAAATTTTTTTTAAAATCTGCATTACTTTCAAGAAAATTGAAATAAATTCTGTAAAAAAATTTAATTATTTTAAAGATTTTTAATAAAAATTTTGCCAAAAATTAAATTTATTGTTTTCAATACAATTTTAATTATATTTTCTCGAAAGAATTCAATTATTGAAAAAAATGTTGATAATATTCTTGTAATGAATTCAATTATTTTCAAATTTTGTTATAAATACTTTACAAGATTTCAATGATATTCAGTATATCGACAATTCAATTATTTCTGAAAATAATAGAATTGTTAAATAGAATTTTATTAAAACTTTTTTAAATAATTGAATCAGCGAAAAAAATTTTTTATTTCTACAAATAATTGAATTTTTGGAAAATTTTAAAAAATAAATGAATTTTTGAGAAGAATTTTATAAAAATTGTATTTAAAATAATTGAATTCCTGTGAAAAATTTACTATTTATGGATTTTATTGAATTATTTTGATGAATTTTAAAAAAATGTCTAAAAATAATTTAATTTTCCCTGGAATTTAATATTTAAAATAATTGAATACATTTAAACATTTTATTATTTATGAAAATAATTGAATTATTGTGAAGAAATTTATTTAAAAAAATTGTAAATAATTGAATTCCTGTAAAATTTTTATTGTTTATAAAAATAATTATATTTTTGCGTGGAATTTATTAAAAATTTTTCGAAATAATTGAATTTTTTGGAAAATTTTATTAAAATAGTACTATAAATCATTAAATTGAAGGAAATTTTTGAAAATAATTGAAATTTCGCCAAGAATTTTATTCAATTTTTTGAAAATAATTGATTTTTGGAGAAGAATAATTTTACTATTTATAAAGATAATTGAAATTCTGTCGAGAATTTTTAAAAACTTTTGAATTTTTGCGAAAAATTTTATTACTTTTGAAAAGAATTGAATTCCTGCAATCATTTGTCATTTTTCTAAAATTCTCCAAATTATATCGTACAATATACGAACTTTTCGTCCTTTTTTAATCAAATTATGGATTTTACAGAATTTTGTTTAAAAAAAACTGACTTTTACGAACTTGAAGCGAATTTTCGGACCTAGTTCCAACCCTGTTATCTTAATCTTTAATTTAGTTTATTTTTTTTATTGATTTGATTATTTAATTTAAATTTAATATAATGCGTAAATACTCCTATTTTACCTGTTGATACTTGAGTGAGATAATTGATTTGCTCACTCAATTTAGACTCCACAGCACTCAAAGATTTCAAGAAACTATGAGTGTGGCTTTCAGCATGTTTCAAGCTAGACTTCTCTTTACTGAGTTCCATAAAAGCTTGACCGGCATTTTGCAAACATGCAATTATATCCTTTTCAATTGATTCAAGAATTTGAATTCTCTCCATTGGCGGTGTCATTTTTGAAGTGTTTCTGAAAATAACCAATAATTATTTATTAAATTAATAATTTACATAAAATAGCAATTGACAAACGTAAGTTACTGAAAAATACAGAAACAATCATGTTCGAAATAATTTGGAAAATTAAATACAGTAACGATAATTTAGAGACTCTTGAAATTTGTGAAAATTAACTTACTATTCAGCTATTGCTATATAGAGACTACAAGATAAATAGTTCTTGATAATAACTTCCTAATTTAAAACAAAGAATGCTTAATATAAAAGATATAAACAATATTCTGAAAGTAAGTTCCAGAAAGTGAGGTTAGGTTTCATTTGTTTTTTGTTTCAATATTAATTCAATTACCCAAAAATATTTAAATTAACTCACTTGTTTAGTAAATCAGGTCAATAAACAGTTTTCGAATAATTTGTTGAATAAAGTACTGTGGTTTTATATAAAAACTGTTAATTCAACAATCGTTTTTGACAGTTCTATGCGACAATGACAATGCCCTCACACAAAAACAACACTAACACATGTACATTCAGTCATGCGCAGAACAACCTTTGCGCACGCATTAGTTCCAAATTTAAAAATTAAATTCCATTTACCAAAGAAAATGAAATTATTAACTTCAATTTTTACTAAGTACCAAAAAAATTATTAGTTTTTTATATATCTATTCATAATCAAAAGGAATAAATTATACTACAAAAAATATTCTCTAATAATAATTTGTTTCCTTTAATTTTTCGTTGAAATTGGCAGCATTGTGTCAAGATTTAAAATTATAAATAGAAATTGAAAATCAAATTTTAAATAAATAATTAATTTATCAACGATTCTCTATATATTTTTAAATAACAAAAATATGTATATGATCCTATCGTAAAAAATAAAAAAAAAAATGAACCATATTTATTTGTTTAAAAAAAAATATATTTTTCTAATTTTCGTCTTGTATTGGTAGCACTGGATCGAGAAAGATTATAAAAGTTAGGTTATGAACGACTTGCTGTCGGCAAGCCCAAGCACTACTTGTGTCCTGCTTTTGTGAATTTAGTTTCTAATTTATTTTTTAGCAATTTTTTGATTTTTTACTGTGGAAAAAGTCTAAAGAAGAGCAAAATGTTTCGCCCCACGAGGGGTTTAGTTTTGACATTTCGTCATATCAAGGAATATCGACTTATACATACAAATGAACGACAACGACAGGATACTTCGGAATACAAATGTAAGAAAACAGCATATATTTACTTGGAATTATATACTAAAATAACATGTGATTATTATCTTAATTGCTATTTTTATTGATGATGATAAATTTTGTTCGTATATTCAAGTTATTTTTAAAACTTTTTGCATAACTCTAGATTGTCATTATTACACATTACAATGCAATTTTTTAGAAAGGCTAATTGTTTACATATTTTGTAGATTTAAATTTACATTATTTCATGTTATTTTTAGCTCCAATTACGGAGGAATATAAATTAGGTCCGTTAGAAGGTCGAGCACTTTATTTGGATGCTCAAGCGACAACTCCAATGGTATTAACCGTTATTTTTCTATTGAAAGTTGTAATTCATTTTATTTTTGGTATATTAATAGTATTTATTGATAGGATCCACGTGTATTGGATAAAATGATGCCGTATTTAGTAAATTTTCACGGCAATCCTCATTCAAGAACTCATATGTACGGTTGGGAAACGGAAACTGCAGTTGAGCATGCACGTAAAGTTAGTATTTAAAAATAAATGTCCTTTCTTCATCAGGGTTGCGACAAAAATTTAATTTTGTTTTTCCCTGATTTCCAAAGAAAATTTTTACTTTTTCCCTGACCCTGAAGATTATTCTAATTCACTCCAAAAATTATTAGATTTTCAAAAAAATGTATTACATTTATTAACGAATTTCTTTAATTGTAAAATTATTCAAAAACTTTAATAATTTCTTTTTTAAATAAATATTTAATCATTACCTATTATTTTTTTATAGAAATTAAGATTTTCAAATTCAAACCTTCTGAAATTCAATAACTTTTGAGAATAATATTATAAAACATGAAGGAATTAATTACTCCAAGTCTTCGACTCGGAGTGATCGATTCCTTCATGTTTTATAACAAATTTAAGATGAGATAGTGATAAATCAAATCAAAATCAAATTTTCAAAGATTTTAATTTGAACCCTTTTCAAAATTCAATTATTTCTAAAAATTCACGCTGTAATGCTTTTAATATTCAATTATTATCTAAAATCTTAACAAAAATTCAATTTCAAATCAGTTTTTATCAGTAAATTATTCGAGAATTCAATTATTTAAATACAAAAATAAATAATTGAATATTTCTTTAAATTGAATTTTTTTGAAGAATTTTATAGAAAAAATTTAAAATAATTTAATTTTTTCGACGAATTTAAAAAAAAAATTTAAGAATAAATGCAATTTTCTATCATTTTATGTAAAATTGTACAAAAAATAATTGAAATTCTGCGATAACTTTTGTTATTAATGAAAAAAATTGAATTCTTGCAACGAATTTTATTAAACATTTTTTTAAAGGATTGAAAATTTCTGTAAAGAATTTTATTTGTGAAAATAATTGAATTCCGGAGAAAAATATTATTATTTATGAAAATAATTGAATTAAAATTCAAAGATTTTAATTTGAACCCTTTTCAAAATTCAATTATTTCTCAAAATTCACGCTATAATGCTTTAATATTCAATTATTATTTTAAATCTTAACAAAAATTCAATTTCAAATCAGTTTTTATTAGAAAAATCTACGAGAATTTAATTATTTAAATACAAAAATAAATCATTTAATTGAATATTTCTTAAAATTGAATTTTTTGTGAATAAGTTTATCAAAGATTTTTAAAAATAATTGAATTCTTTCGGCAAATTTAAAAAAAAATGGAATTTTCTATCATTTTATTTAAAATTGTACAAAAAATAAATTAAATTTTGCGATAAGTTTTGTTATTTATAAAAATAATTGAATTCTTGCAAGAAATTTTATTAAACATTTTTTTAAAGAATTAAATTTCTGTGATAAATTTTCTATTTGTAAAAATAATTGAATTCCAGAGAAAAATATTATTATTTTAAACAATAATTAATTTCCTGTGAAGAATTGTATTCAAATTTTTTTAAATAATTTAATTCTCGACAAAAATTTTATTATTTATAAAAATAATTGATTTCTTCTGAAGAATTTTATTCAAATTTTTTTAAATAATTGAATTCCCATAAAAAATGTATTGTTTGTGAAAATAATTGAATTCTTACGAAAAATTGTATTGAAAATAATTGAATTATATAGGAAAATATTAAAATTGCAATTTTATTAACAAAATCTTGTAAAGAATTTTGTCAACATTTTTTTAAATAATAGAATTTTTAAAAGAAGTTTATTTAAATTTTTCGAAATAATTGAATATCTCAGAACTATTTTTTTTTTTTTAATTTTCTGAATATATTTAAATTCCTTCGAAAAACTTCATTAAAAAAGTAAAAATAATTGAATTGGTGCGAAGAAATTTATAAAAAATTGATAAATAATTGAATTCCTGTGAAATTTTTATTAATATTTTGTTTAAATAATTGAATTCTTTTGGAAAATTTTATTAAAATAGTAGATATTATAAATAATTGAAATAAGAAAAATTTTTGAAAATAATTGAAATTTTTCCAAGAATTTTATTAAATTTTTTGAAAATAATTGAATTTCGGAGAAAAATTTTATTATTTATAAAGATAATAATTGAAATTTTATTAAGAATTTAAAAAATTTTTTGAACATAATTGAATTTATGCGAAGAAGTTTATCACTTTTGAAAATAATTGAATTTCTGTAATCAGTTCTTAAAATTTCTATTTAAATTCATTAAAAATTGATATTTTCTAAAATTTCAAATTGAAACTCTTTTGAAATCCAATTAATTTTGAAATTTTAAAGTAAAATTATTCATTAAATAATTTCCAAGTAATAATTTTATGATAGTTGTTCAACAATTAAGTTATTTAAAAAGAAATTATTATCAGAAATAGAAAAAATTGAAGAGTTTGTATTTGGATTTTTTGCAATTTCATATAGTTTATGAGGCAAACAAAAAAGATACTAAAATTCAGAATTTTCTTATAAATTCAAAAAATTTAATTTTTTCGAGTACTTTTAATAAAATTCCCTGACTTTTCTCTGATTTTCCTGACCAATTCTAATTTCCCTGAATTCCCTGAGTTCCCTGACCTGTGGCAACCCTATTCATTATCTTGGTTGTACAATAAAATGTTTGTTTATTTTTTTGTTAGCAAATTGCTGACTTGATTGGCGCTGACAAAAAGGAAATAATTTTCACATCTGGAGCAACCGAATGCAATAATATATCGATCAAAGGAGTTGCTAGATTTTATAAAGCTAAGAAGAAGCACATTATAACAACCCAAACAGTAATTGACTGAATTTAATTAATCGAATTTCTAATTGCTCTTCTAGCCTTTTCTCCGATTTTTGTATTTCTAATGATTTCTTTTGTATTTACAGGAACACAAATGCGTTTTAGATTCATGCCGAGCTTTACAGGGCGAAGGTTTCGAAGTGACTTATTTACCAGTTAATTCGAATGGTCTTATTGATATGGAGGAACTTGAAAAGGCTATTACTCCAAATACATCTTTAGTTTCTATTATGACAGTCAATAATGAAATTGGCGTTCAACAACCTGTTGCTGAAATAGGCGCTCTGTGCAGGTAATTAATTGTAATTCCAAATTAATGACGTTGTTGAAGGTTCCCACTTATCTATTATTTATTAAAACCTATTATTATTATATTATATTATTATTAAAAACTATTATTTATGACTTTTTTACGATTTTTAGAAATAATTAATTCAGGGTTGCCACAGGTCAGGGAAAAGTCATGGATTTTTTTTTAAAAGTACTGGAAAAAATTAAATGTTTAGAATTTATACGAAAATTCTGAATTTTTGTGTCTTTTTTGTTTGCCTCATAAACTATGAAATTACCACAAAGTCTAAAGAAAACCTTTAATTTTTTCTATTTCTGACAATAATTTATTTTAAATAATTTAATTCTTGAAGAACTGACATAAAGTTAATACTTATATAAATCATTAGATGAAGTATTTTTTTGAAAAATTTTAATTTCAATTAAACAGAATTAGTAAATAGAATTAAATAGAAATAGAAATAAGTAATGTCCTAGGAGTTGACAACTCTCTATGTAATTTTGCAGAAAGAACAAAGTCTTCTTTCACACTGACGCTGCTCAAGCGATCGGAAAAATTCCGATTGATGTTAACGAAATGAATATTGATCTGTTATCTATAAGCGGTCACAAAATTTATGGACCAAAAGGTAATCTCCTGAAGACTTTAGAATGAAAAATTGTTTTAAGAATTGAACTCAGTTGAAACTGTATTTTTTTTTGCTTTTGTTTTTTTTAAATAACTTTTTAATATATTAATTTTTAAAAATTGAGAAAACTTTTGTAATTGTAAATATGGAAAAAATAGGAGTAGGAGCTTTATACGTGAGAAGAAGACCCAGAGTACGTGTCGAACCACTTCAAAGCGGTGGAGGACAGGAGAGAGGAATGAGAAGTGGTACAGTTCCAGCTCCTTTGGCAGTTGGTTTAGGAGCAGCTTGCGAGTTTTCACAAAATGAAATGGAGGTAAAAAGAAATTACATTTCTAAAAATAATAAATCCCATTTTTTAAATTAAGAAATTTATCTTTTATCTTTTGAATTTAAATATTTTACAAAATTGAAAATGATTCTTTTCAGTATGATCACGAATATATAACGCGTCTTGCGAATCGACTTCTTGACACAATTACCTCAAATTTGACTCATGTGATAAGAAACGGAGATCCTGTTGCCTGGTATCCGGGATGCGTTAATCTTTCCTTCGCTTGTGTCGAAGGAGAATCTTTATTGATGGCATTGAAAGACATAGCGTTAAGTAGTGGATCAGCATGTACGAGTGCAAGTTTGGAGCCTAGTTACGTTCTTCGGGCAATTGGAGCTTCCGAAGATCTTGCTCATTCCAGTATAAGGTTCGTTTTCAAAAAATTGAAACCGTAATTAAAGAAATGAAATTACAGGCATCACAGTACCTTTCATCCTCAAAAAAGGTGAAAAGAGGAATTCTTTTCTTCAAAAAGGAGACAAAAATTCATTTGTTTATACAGCTTGCTTATATAATTCAAATTTTTTTTATCATATAGCTTCTTAAAAAAAAGCTCTTTGAGAATTTTCAAATTCATTTGTTTACAATTCAATTTTACGAAATTTCTATTATTCGGAAATTCTTCAATTAAATATATATATTAATTTAGAAAATAAAAACTTCAAATAATTTCAAAACAAAATTCAATTACTTTTTCAAGAAAAATTATTTATACAGAATTTTTAGTTAAAAGTATGAAAAATTCAGATTTTTAAAGATTTTAGTTTGAAATCTTTTCAAAATTCAATTATTCTTAAAAATTCATGCTATAATGCTTTTAATATTCAATTATAATGTAAAATTTTAACTGAAATTCACTTTTAAATCAATTTCTATTAGAAAGCTCTACGAGAATTCAATTATTTAAATACAAAAATAAATAATTTATTGAATAATTTAATGTTTCTTAAACTTTAATTCTCATAAAGAATTTTATCAACAAATTTTCAAATAATTGCGTTCTTTTAACGAATTTTAATAACATTTTTACGAATAATTACATTTTTCCAGGAATTTGAATAAAATTATATTAAAAAAATAATTGAAATTCTGCGATTTTCATTTATGAAAATAATTTATTTTCTAAAAAGAATTTTATTATTTTTGAAAATATTCAAATGTTTGCGTAGAATTTTATTAAAATTGTTTTTAAATAATTGAATTCTTTTGGAATACTTCGTTAAATCAGTAGATATTGAAAATCATTTAATTGAGCAAAATTCTTGATAATAATTAAAATTTTGACAAGAATTTTATTACAATTTTTGAAAATAATTGAATTTCGAAGAATTTTAAAATTTATAAAGAGAATTGAAATTTTGACGAAATCATTTGAAACTTCTCTAAAATTATTGAATTAATACACGAACATTAAATTATTTAAAATAGTATTTGCAACAATTTTTTCGAAAAATGTGTTTAAATAATTGAATTCTCGAATTTTTCTAATAAAAATTAATTTCAGTTAAAGTTCTAGATAATAATTGAATTTTGGAGAAGTTACTAATAATTGCAATTTTTTTGGTATTGTAATTGCATTTTGAAAAGTTTTCAAGTTAAAATCTTTGAAAATCTGAATTTTTCATACTTTTAATTAAAAATTCTATGGAACTAATTTTTTTCAAAAAGCTTAATCGAAATTTTAAAAAATTATTTCAAGTTTTTATTCTGTGATGAAAATTGAGTAATTTTTCAATAATAGAAATTTGGTAAAATTGAATTATTGTAAACAAATGAATTTGAAAATTCTCAATAGAACGTTATAAAAAATTATTAAAAATAATTGATTTAAAGAAGAATTTTATTTAAAAATTCTAGAAAATAATAATAGAATTAAATTGATGAAAATAATTTTGAATTAATTATTATAAAACATGAAGAAAGCGAACAGTTCGAGTCGAATTACTTTTAAAAATAATTAAATTTTTGCAATCATTTGAAACTTCTTTAAAATTAAAATTTTGTTTAGTCTTTTTAACTAAAATTCTTATATAAATTCATTATTTTTAATAATTAATTAAATATATATACATTAACAAATTTAACTAATTTCAGAATAATTTAAATTATGAAAAGTTTTGCAAAAATCTAAGTTCTTAAAAATTTATGATTATACTTTGAAAAAGATTTCAATAAATGAAAAATTCTTTATTTTTGATTAGAAAAAGGTGAAAAGGGGATAAATCACCAAAAAAGGGAAAAAAGGGGACAGAATTGAAAGAAGGGGTCAAAAGGGGAAAAGGGGGCCAACTGTGATGCCTAAAATTAAGAAAGCAGTAAAAATTATACCTAAAATTGAAAATTCTCAAATTTCTTCCTTTGCATACAGATTCGGAATTGGAAGATTCACAACTATGGAAGAAATTGATTACACAGCTGAAAGAACAATATACCAAGTGAAACGCTTAAGAGAAATGAGGTTTGGAAACTTTAGTATTATAAAACATTTATTTTCAAAAAAATCTCGTTTACAAACTAATTATTCGTATTAGTTCCTTGAATCTACAATATTAAGCACACATTTTAGCAAAATCAATTCCGTTTTAGTTTTCTAGAAAATTAAAAAAAATTCTGAAAATTATTCCTTTTAATTAAAAAAAATAGTGATATGTACATTAAAAAAGCAAAATCATCTTTTTTTCTTCCAGCCCATTGTGGGAGATGGTCGAGGACGGCATTGATCTGAAGACAATAAAATGGACCCAGCACTAAAACGCACCTGAGTATCATGTGATTTACAAAAAAGTATAATTTCAAAAACAAGAAAAAACGAAAATCCATTTAAATATCAAAATAACATCGAGCACAACCGATTGAAAGGAATTTTAATTCTAAAACCTGTGAAGCAACCGGACACACTCACGTCTTATATTCTCATATATATTTTTTTCAGGAAAAGATCTGTGTTGTAATTTGTTGAAAAAGTTCCGTTTTTGAGTTAAAGTTTATTATTGTTATTATTATTATTATTATTTTTCTTTATCACTGCACCTTTTTGTTTTGTGTGTTTTCGGTCTTCGTAAAGCATTTTTGAGCAAAGAAGCTATTAGCCAAAAGAAATGAGAATGAGCTTAACATAAACAAGATGGTTCGGTAGCCTCGTCAGCGTGAGAAATTTTAAAATGGTCCTTATCCATGTCGTGAAGGTCCATTCGAGATCGATTAGCTTCAACTAGATGCTGTGCAATTTCTTCGAACATTTCATTTATACCCACTCCAGATTTGCACGACGTTTTATATGTTGCTGAGATTAAATTGTGACACTGCTCACTGACAAATACAAAAATTATTATTTTAACATAAGGTAAAACTTTTTTATTGTATTTTATTTTAATAAAATGTAAACGTATACAGATTTTATTCTCTATATTTTTACATTTTCGTTAATTTTTCTTTTTTTTAAAAAAGAGATACAATTAAAATTAATTGAAGAAAAGTATATTCCTCTTTAAAAAGAGTATATTTTAAAATACATTTTGTTTCTAAAATGTAAATTAATTCACTGCTTTTCTATCGTTATCATTGTATATATATAAATTGTAGATATATATCAGGTAACAAATTAATTAGAATTTAGAATATTGAGTTGTATATTTCAATAATTTGATCAATATGAGAAAATACACGAGAGTGAATAGAAGATTTTTTTTCTTATTGTAAATAAAAATTTTGTTATTACCAAAATTGTTCCATTTCAGCATCAGTGACTTGTGGATTTCCACCCTCAAGATCGCTTTTATTTCCGCAAAGAAATATTTTGGCATTTTCAGCGTAGGTGACTATATCAAGAAGATGTTGAGAGAGAAGATGAAATGAGGTGGAATTATCTAGTGCAAATACTAAAATAGCTGCTTCTGCAAATTTGTAATAACTAGACGTAACCGATGCCACTCTTTCCATACCCCCAGTGTCCCATAATTGCAGCTAAAAAAATTTGAAAAATAGGTATACAATTTAAATATTCATTTTATTAATTTTCTATATTTTATAATTTATTCTCTTTCAGCTTATTACCGAAAAAAGGACAATTAACTAAAAATTGCAAAAAGTTAATATTAAATTCTGTTTAATTTGATTGTTTATGTTAATTTTTGTTTAATTTTACTTTCTTTATATATTAATTTTTATTTAATTTTACTATTTTGTACTAACAAATTTTAATATTTAGTTAAATGTTAAATAGATTTAGGAAAAGTAATATTTAAATACTTAAAAAATCATAAACTTACACGTATTCGTCTATCGTCAACAACATATTCTTTATCAATATTATCGATTCCAAGTGTAGATTTTCTGTCGCTGTTATTAACAAATGAATTATTTGCGAATCTCCTAAAAATTGATGTCTTTCCCACGCCGTATTCACCGCAAAGAATAACTTTTTGCTCTGTCACTTTGACAGTTGCCATTATAATTACTCTAATATTTATTTATTTGTTTAATAAAAAATCTAAATACTCGGACTAATTTGAGTTAACAATTGTTAAAAATAATTTATTTATTATTTATGGCAACATTTTTTTTAGTGAAAGCACAATTGGAGCACACATTGATTTAACATATTGTTAAAATTTGTTTTTTTTTCTTTTTGCAAAAATTTAATGTTACATTTTTAAAGAAATTTACAGAATTCATAAACAGTGGGCGATTATTAAGAATGAGCAATTAACAACTTCCTACTCGTGTGTCTGGGCATTGGTTCTAATATTCAATGTAGGCGTGTTTCCTTGGACACCGTTCACTAGGTCTATCTATCGTCAACCTGGAGGACTAAAATCTCATTCAGCGGGTTCTTCAATTTTATTTTTGCAAAAAAATTTTTTTTTTCGCAAATTTTTCCTTTTGAAAGTACTTTATTTTTTATTGAAAATTATATTTTTTTTGTTTATTTTTAAATTTATGTTTTTTTTTTGGAGGTAATTTTTATGGGAAAAATTTTAATTTTCTCTCAGCAAAAATTTATTAGTTTTAATTAATTAAATAGTAAGTTAAATAATTAGGTATTTTCAAAATGGTTAATAACGTAATTTGTTAAATTTGATTTTAAATTAATTTTTGTTTTTTTGCACAATTTCAGACAATTTTATGGAAAAAATTTTAACTCTCTCTTGAAGGGAATTTATTGCGTAAAATTAATTGATTAATTAATTACGTATTTAACATTAATTTATATCTAAATGCTAAATTGTCTATTAACGTAATTTTTTAAATTGATTATTTGATTTTAAATCAATTTTGGTTTTTTCTTACAGAATTTTATAGAAAAATATTTAACTCTCTTTTGATGGGAATTTATTACTTAAAATTAATTGAGTAATTAATGAATTATGTAATTAACATAAATTTATAATTGCTAAATTGTCTATTAACGAAATTTGTTAAATTAATTTTTTAATTTTGAATTAATTTTGGTTTTTTCTTACATTAGAGAATTTTATGGAAAAAAAATTTTAACTCTTACTTTTGAAACGAATTTATTTCTTGAAATTAATTAATTATATAATGTCAAATTATTTATGAACGTAATTTGTGAAATTATTTTTGATCTTGAATTAATTTTTGTTTTTTACGCAATATTTTGTTCGCTTTAAAATATTCCTTTTCTAGTAAAATATTATTCATTTCAGTAGATTTTTATGATGAGTTTTTGATAAAAATGTAGAAATTTATTTAATCTGTTGTGTGGGTGTAAAAAATATAACTCTTTAGTATTTTATAAAATTTATTTTCTAAAAATTACAATTTTTTTTTCGTGTATCGGTACGTGTTTTGATCTCTTAATGTTTGTTGATTATCAGATTTATGCGTAATTATTTTTTAAAAATTGAAATTAGATATTTCTTCTCGACAGAATTAGGAAATAAGTAGTCATCCATGACCGATGGATCTAATGAGATTTACTTAAGAAATATTATATCTTTAGTTAAGCGAAAATTTAATATTGATTATCGGTTTTCATACTTTTATGATATAAACTATTGGAAAAAATAATATTCAATTACAGCTTAAATGTATTCTTTTTCTAATATTTTTTCCAAACAGATTAATTATAAATCAATATTTTGTAAGTAAATTACTTATACGAATTGTAAATTATTTACAAATAGTAAATTACTTACTTACGATTTAAGTTCTTACAATTTTCGATAAGTTATTAATAATTTTCGATTTTTTGCAGCTCTGAGGCGAAGAGTAACCAAAGCACCTGACGACTCCTTTGCAGTGTGTGGAATAAATCGGGAAAAACTTACAAGGGTGACTGGAATATATGGAGATAAGATGAATTCATTAGCGGCATATTGAAAAATTGACCTGCAAGTTTTGATCCAATGTTAACAATGCGAATGATTAGCAAGAGGCGTAGGATGCTGAGGAGTATTCTTAAGGTGCGTAATTATAATGCAATTGTTGTTAACCTTGTCCCACCCCTTTTTAAAAATGAATATATTAAGTGATAAGAATTTTTTTCTAAATTTCTAATTCTGAAAAAAGAAAAGTAACCAAGTTGCATAGACAAAATTGATTTTAGAAAAAAGGACCTAGTTTTTAAAGTTAATTCGACACTCGACATTCTCTTTCAATTATTTTTTAGAGAACAATTTCTGATTGAAATTCAATTGTCTAATATTTATTTTTATTAAACAGTTAAATTGAGGATAAAAAATTGCAAATCGTTTAATTCACTATTTTTGAATAATTAATTAATTCATTTAATAATTAAAATTTTTAAATAATGTAAATAATAAATATAAATAAATTTAAATAAAAAAATATAATAAATATAAATATAAAAATATAATAAACTAAAAACTATAAAATAGTAATCGTTTAATAAATGATAATAAATTTTTTTCTCCAATAATTAAAAAAAATAATTAAAAACTTGAAAAAAATGATTTCGAATAATTTAAAAGAAAAACATAATTTTTAATTAATTTCTTATAATTATAAAACGGAAATAGCGCCTGTTGTACTGGATTGGAGAAAAAACGAAAACGATTAACAGCGAATAATAATGATACATTTACATGATTACTTTACGCGTTCTGTAATTAACTCGAGTTTTTTAAAAAAAATTTTCTCACGTGTCACGATAGTAATAAAATAATAATAAAATTATTACTATCGATAACGTTATAAATAATATCGTAAATTATTCGTAATTTGAAAGATTACTAACATCAATATTTAAATATCACGAAAATCAATTATTAACTATATTAACTATAAATTAATAAAACTAATAATTAATTATAATTCATTTATAATTGTCAATTAACTATATTAATCTCTGTGGTTTTTCATTCGTTCTGTTCGCAGTATGAAGTTGGTTGTTAGTTACTTTTTTGTTTCCCAACTTTTTTAATTATTTTCTTTTTCAATATTTTTTATTATTTCCATTAAAATTAATGTATTGAAAATCATTGAATTCTTGCAAAAAATTTCAGAATAATTCAATTCCTTCCAAAAATTTTATTATTCAGTAATTAAATTCTCGCAAAGAATTATTAAATTAAAATTAAAAAAATGTTTAAAACCCTAATTAAATTTCTTTGAAGAATTATTTTCAATTTTTTTTTTTTTTTTTTTTTTTTTTTTGAATAATTGAATTTCTTTAATAATTTTAATTGGAATTTTTTAAAGTGATTAAAATTTATTAACAATTTCTTTCAAGGAATTTCATTAAAATAATTGGAAAACAATTAAAGTAATTGAATTCTAACAAAAAATTCCTTTATTTATTGAGTATAATCAATTTACAATTAAACTTTTATTAAAATTATTCATTGAAAATTAAATTCTTTTATATAATTTTATTAGAATTTTTCTAAATAATTACATTTTTTTGGAGAATCTCTATAAAATCTTTTATAAAAAAAATGTAATTTTTCTAAAATAATTTTAAATGAAAATTTTCAAAATAAATGAATTAAAGAAACAATTTTTTTCAACTTTTTAAAATTATTGTGTCAGGTAATAATTATAATTAAATATTTGATCATTCACAAGTTTACTAAAACTGTATTTTGAAAATAACTGAATTCCTGAGAAGAATTTTATTAATTTTCGAAAGTAATTGAGTTATTTGAATGAATTTTATTAAAAATTTTAAAAAATTGAATTGTTTTGAAGGATTTATTGAAATTGTAAAAAATAATTCTATTTCTTTCGAGAAATATTATAAAAGTTTTTAAAAAAATTGAATTCATTCATGAAATTATATTAAAATTTTATTAAAAAATATTGCGAACTTTTGCAAAAAAAAATTACTTTAAAATTTTAGAAAAAAATTTGATTATTTCGAAAAATTGTATGAAAACATAAAACAATTCATTTTTCTTTTTCAATATTTTTATAATTTTAAAATTAATGTATTCAAAATCATTGAATTCTTGCAAATATTTTAGAATAATTTTACAGATTTTAGAAAAATAATTGAATTTTGAGCAAATAATTTAATTCTTACGAATAATTTTACTAATTTTAGAAAATAATTGAAATATTTCGAAAAAATTTCTATAATTATTTATTTATTCATTTTTTTATTTTTACAATTAATTGAATTTCTGTGAAGATTTTACTAATTTTTTTTATTCAAGAATTCAATTACATTTTCACAAATATAATAAATTTCCTGGAAAGAATTCAATTATTTTCAACAATTAATAAAATTCCTCACAAAAATACAATTATTTTCTAAAATTAATAAAATTCTTCACAGGAATTCAATTATTTTCAAATATTAATAAAATTCTTTCCAGGAATTCAATAAACTTTGAAAATCAATAAAATTATTTACGTAAATTTAATTATTTTCAAATATTAATAAAATTCTTTAAAGGAATAGGGTCATTTGGGGTAATAATGTAAACGGAATATCTATTTTTCACAAAAAACGTTAGTTTTTTTTTGTTAAAAGGTAAAACGGACGGATTTCTTTTGCATGAACTTGTTACTTTACTTCCCTAGAAAAATTTTATGAGGTACAAAAAAATATTGATGCACCTGAATCGCCTAAAACTGAATGTTTACATTTACCCCGAGATGTTGAAATTTTCCTAAAATTCGGGGCAAATGTAAACACCTCTGTAGTTAAGCGAGGTTTAAGAAACAAGTTATTTCAAGCATACACTGTAAAAAAAATTTTGGAAATTTTCCCAAAAAAATTGAGGAAGCAAATTCACATAAAAAGTATAAAAATTTCCCACAATTTGGAAAAATTCCTTTAAAGATTTAGGAAAATTCCTAAAAATTTGTAAATATTCCTTAAAACGTTTAGAAAAATCCCTTTCCCAACAGAATTTAGAAAAATTTCAATTCGTATCGAAAAATTTCCAAACACTCAGAAAAATTACCATTTTTTTGGGAAAAAATTTTTTCTAAACACGTTTTAGGAAAATTCCCATGCAAAAGTTTGGAAAAATTTCCGAAATTTTTTACAGTGTACTACTGTCTTAAGGGATGGAAAAACTGAAAACAAATTATTCGTAGACGTATAGTAAATCAACCAGTTGACTGATAATGTATCTTATAAAAAACAATCAACCATTACGAAATTAGTAATGTAAAAACTTGAATAACTTAAACAAATTTTAATAGATTTTCATTCAACTTGGTAAAAAGTTTTTTTTATTTTTCTGAATAAGAATTCGAGTTTTCGAATTCTCGGGGTAAATGTAAACACTTAATTATTTATTAATTAAATTGACGAAAATCAAAAATCAAAGTCAATTTTTGATAGGGCATTAATAAGGAAGAATTACATATTTTTGTTAGATTTTTTAATTTATTTTTATGTTATCTTTTAATGCAAAAACGATTAAAAATCAAAGT